TTGAGTAAGTTTTTTCAAAAATAACCTAACCCAACTTTCTAGTAAAAACAAAACTACTTTTTAGATACTTTGAAAGAAACAAAAAGATACATGAACAAACAAGAGAAAAAAAACGTTTTTGCAAAAATGCTTGCAATGAACAGCTAATGAATTTTAATTATAATTCTGAATTTGAGATGGTTCAAAATGAGCAAGATGAAATAGTATTACAAAATGAAACAATAGTGACTGATACTTCTACAGGAAATTTAACACTGACCAATAATAATAATAACGTTTATTTAGAAAATAATGAAATTATTTTGGTGGATGTTCCATCGATGGATGATGATGACCCATTATTTCCTCAAAGTGAAAATATTGAAGTGGATATGAATAGTAATTCTCGTAAGCACCAACATTTAAAACAAAAAATAATTTATTTTTAATATTTATTTGCCTAAATAGTGCACTTTACTCCATGTGAGTGGATCAAATAGATTAAATTTAAATAGGTACTTATATTTTATTTTTAGCGCTATTTTTAAAACTTGATGAGATGGACAGTAAGATTGATGCATTAGGTGTAAAATTAGATTATTTTATTAAAAGTAATGCTGAAGTAAAAACTCTATTGCAAGAGGTTCTTCGAAGGACTAATAATGAAAGAGAGATTGCTGTAAATGACGTAAAAGCAGCAAACGAGGAGGGCATTATTTCAGAATTTAATTTTCCACTTGATGATACCACAGCAATTGACGAATTGGAAAACAAATTATCCAATAAGGAATTTGAACAAAAAATGGTAAAAAAAGTTTACTAGTTATTTTAGTAACATATTACATCTAAAATTTCAGTTTTCTTATTTTATTAATATTGGAGGAGAGAGTGGAAATCAAAATGGGGAAAAAGTAGCTGCAAGATTATTAAGTGAGCTATTTAACAATTCAGTTCTTTGCCAATATACATGGAAGGGAATTTCCACAGCTAAAACCGAGGGCGGACGACCGACGGCAGTATTTATTAAATACGAAAAAATAATATCCTTTATCTTCAAAGTTTTGAAAAAAGCTGATCAAAAATTCACTAGGCTGGCTACCGAAAAATACCTGCAGTTTAAAGTTTTCAAAAGAAATTCCCAAAGGCTTAAAAGAGAAATGTAGGTATATAGAGATATTTATTTATACAAAAAATATTTATTTGTTCTTATTGTATATATTGTAAACACCTAAATTTATTTAGTAGGTAATTTACAGATTTTAATTTTTTTTTTTTAATTTTCAGAGAAAAGAAACGAAAAATTGGCGATGAAAACCCAGAAGTAGAAAACACCGTAAATGATGACGGTGCGCATCAAAATTTGGATCCAACTTCAAATGAAGTCGAAGTTTACAATAATTAGTTATTTTGTTATTAATTTTTAAGAAGAATTTGTTTGGTTCTTAAATTAAACACAATTATAATAACCAAATGTTTATTACTTTTATTTAATCAAATAAAATTAAACAGTATGAATCAAAGGTAAGAAAACAAACTCATTTCTGTACTTTAACGATATTAATTTACAGTTTATCTCATCCACAGAAATGTTTTTTAATGGCTGGTATATTTTATTGGAAAAAGTACAATATATATTAATATATGAGGAATTAAAAGGACTTTTAAAAAAATCAAATTTTTGAGTTATTTCAGATCCGGTGATAAATATTTTACCATCTATGCACTGAACATCTATCATTTGAAATATTTCATTTTTGTTTGTAAGAAACCATTTATCGCAATTTTTTGGGGACAGCATGAAACCATTTTTTAAGTAAACATTTTTCTTGTTTTTTACATATGGAAATTTTAAATTATTAATTTTAGGTAAAAATTGCAATTTTGACATTTCACTTAACCGTTTGGCTATTTGCGCTAGTGGCTTGTTGCCATGCCGTAAATAGCTTTTAATTTGGCCTAAATAATTTTCAAAGGGGTAAGCACTAAATGAGGGTAATGGGCCAAATCTTTTAACATCTTCGATTAAATGGCAAAGGTTATGTACATTACTGCTTACAGAATCAATTCCATAATGTTCGATAAATTTTTCTATACAATCTTTTAGGAGTTTATCTGCAATATTCAAATATTTTAAATAATATTCGCTGCTGCAAATTGTTACAGCACATGAAAGCATTAAAAAATGATTATAAATATCAGGTGCTAAAAAGTCTTTTAATACAACTGGACCCAAATAAAACAAAAACGATCTAAACTCAGTACCCTTCCAAAATTTGATTGAATCGAGAGTCCTTACGGCTCTATGCATTTCTTTTGGCATTTGATTGTTGCATTCTTTTAGTAAAATTGAAATTGAGTTTATATCGTTGGCCGAGAGTTTGGTCCTAAAGTTGTAACTTCCTTGTATCCAGCCAATAAGGCATCTTTTTGTTATACCCAAATCAATTAAATGAAGAGAATCTGCAACTGGAAAGTCAGCTATCAAATCAATAGGCAACCTTTCTAGAGGTGTGTCTTCTTTATGATGATCTGGATCTGTTCTATTCCGAAAACTAAGATCTGTTCTAGCTGGCAAATCTATTCTCGGATAGCTCATATGCCTTCCATCTCGATAATATTCACCAATACATATACATTTTGTACATCCATGGTAGTGGTTAAAGTTGACAGTACCTTATAAAAAAGAAAATATTTTAAGTAAATTAAAATTGTTGCCACAATAATATTTACCTTTAATAAATGACCTTGCGGGTGTATCACAAATAAAACATCTAATTGTGATTAATAGTTTATATCCATTAACTTCTATTCCATTTTGTAAAACCTCACTTAACTCATCAACAAATGGTGTCAAAAATTGTTGCAAATTTGGTTTGCTTTCTCCGTGGTAAATCGCTATTATCAATGGATTTATACCAGATATATTGTCAATTTTACAAAGTATAGGCCAAAATTCTGACTTTGAACTATTGCAAATTGGAAGTCCGTCAATATTGAAACTCAGTAATAAATGAGATGTGTCGACTAAATTAAAATTTTTTAGTTGGTTTCGAATACATAATTTTAGCTCATTATACCAATATTGTCCTAATCCCATCGGAGTAACAGTGACATTTACTAAAGTTTCAAGCAAAGTTCTACTGTCTTTAGGCAGATAACTATGAGAAGATTGTCTTAACAAGCAAAGGAGTTCATTTAAAGCACCGTGGGTAATTTTATTTTTAAGTGCCCAGATTTTTAAACTTCCTGTAAATGACATTTTAGAATCAAGGTCGTTTTCTTCGCTATGCTCGCCATCATCGTCCTCAATTAAATTATGTTCTGGATCATCGTCCTCAACTAAATTATGCTTGCCATCATCGTCCTCAATTAAATTATGTTCTGCATCATAGTGCTCAATTAAATTATGCTCGCCATATTCGGCGTCATCGGTTTTAAAATTTGTTTCACCAACATTTGGCTGAGAACATTGTATAAAGTTTGATTCAGGACACCAATCTAAATTATTTGAGCTTTCGCTTTTATTTGCATGTGCTGTAAAATCACCATTTTCCGGATTATTTACTACTAGCAACGTATTCTTGAATGAATCTGTTTTTTTTACCTGCTTCATGTAATCAAAGAGCATCTTTTGATTACGCTGAATTTCTTTTTGCACACTTCTGTAGTACTGTGTGTTAAACACGGTTTTCACTTTATTTCTTTGAGTTTTAGGCATTTTTAATTTTATATCAACCCATTATTATGCATTTACTCTCTATATAAGAGCTGATACTAGTTAACAAATCGTCTATCAGACACAATTTAGAGAAAAACTGGACAAAATGTGTATTTAATGTGTCCCTTTGGAACCTAATGCGCCCGCCCCACACATTTTTGAAACAAATCAGACACCATGAATCTAAAATGCAGCTAAATGGAAACTTTTGCGTCCACTTGACTTAATTTGGTAATAAAATGGAAACAGATTGATAAGGTACAATATGGAAACATTGAGTCGACTATGTGTCGACCCTAATGAGTCTAAATTGTGTTACTGTTTCCAAGAGGGCACAAAAACGACGCAACTTGGGTACATATTTTTTAAATAATGCTACTTAGACCCATACTTTTTTTGGACACAATTGGTTTAAAAGGTGTCGACCCAAAGCAACCACAAATTTGAAGAATGGACACAGTTTCCATTTAGACATAAGAATTCCAAATTGGGTCGAAACAATTTGGAAACAAAAAGTGTCGTGCCCAAGTTCGGGCACAAATTGCTGCTTGGGAAGGTTAATTTGTGGGGTATAATTTAACCTTAAAATTGACATTTGACAGTTTTATGACAGCCCTGATAGAATAAAGTTTATTTTTTACAATAGAGGAGTAAAATGGTTGTTCTTAGCACTTTAAGGTCTCTTTTAAGGCTTACTAAGAGAAACACAAAGTTTAAAACGATTAAACTGTATAAACAGAGCACAAACCCAAATCATAAAAATTGTAAACAACAAAAATGGCCGCCGTTAAACTGGGCAGTGTTGCAGTGATTTTTTGTATTTTTAGTACGAGATAGAACAGACCTTGTTGTGTGGATGGTGGCTCGGCTATACTGCCCAACTATATAGTTCTCCATATGGAGAAAGGCAGTAACTGCTGAACGAGAAATTTGTGGGAAATAAGCATAAACTACATTTTTATTAAAAGCAGTAGGTATTTAACTGATTTATTTAACTTATAAGATAGTTTACTACATTTCTTTGTTGAATTAAGATACAAAATGTCCATAGCTTTATCATAGCACAAGAAAACGCATTTAGAATTTTTTTGCAGTTACTGCCTTTCTCCATAGTATGGCAGTATAATACTTGAACAAAACTCACTCTATGAATATTTTTGTTAATTGGTCGACCTCAGATGCATATTTAACATTTAAATTTTCAGAAAAACAATGAGCAACTCATATTCTAGACGCTGCACTTTTTTTTAAATAATGGAACAAGACGACAACGTCAGAAAAATTTGACAAGCCATCAAAAAGCAAAAAATGTAATTTAGATAAAAATATATTTATTTTCAAAATTAAAAATGTTAATATTCCTAATACTTCTGAATTTAATATTTCTATCAAACGGCTCCTTATTAAGAGAATCATGCTTCAGTCCTATCTACTGCCACGGAAAAATTTTGCACATGGTACAAACAGCTGGAATTTTAAACGACTCCAAAACGTTCGTAGACTTATCGATGAAATATCCCATCAATGAAACTTTTGATAATTTTGAAGAATTTTTATTGAAGACGCCGCATCCAAACCCGATGGACATACAACGTTTTGTGTACGAAAATTTTGTATCTACCGGGGAAATTGAGGAGTACTGGCCCACAGATTACAGATCTGTATAAGGAATATATCAAGGGAAGTGGGCATAATATGGATACTGTATTTTAAACATTGCATAAACCGTATATTTTTATAAAATCATACACTGCTGTATTATGCCTACATACCTTAATATTTAGGCGACTGCACCAATTACTTAACATTCATTTTTAGGATCCCAAGTTGATACAAGAAATTGAAGACCCTCTGGTAAAAAAGTTTACCGAAAATTTGGTGGAATTGTGGCCTACATTGGCGAGAAAAGTCACTAGAAAAGTTTTAGAGCAACCTGAGTCTTATTCAATCATTCCGGTATCGAATGGATTTATAATTCCAGGTAAAGGTCATTTAACTTTTTTTATATAAAACCGGTTACGATGCAAGATTGAAGTCATAGGAAACGAGCGTCTGTCGTAGAAAAAGTATAGTATGCAACTCGTTTCTAGGCACTCATTTAATTATGCACTCGCTCGCAAGCTCGATTGTGCCTAAATTAAATTCGTGACTAAAATGGCGCCTATCAAACATGATATGAGGCCTGCAGGCCTGCAGGCCTGTCATAGCAAAACCGACAATCTCCACTTTTGGTCAAAAATTAGATTTTTGGCGGAGACTGTACTTCAACTAATTATCTATAAGATGATAAAGTTTATGTGCTGCAAAAGGAGCTAAATCCTGCCTAAAATCCTATTTTAAAAATGACAAAGTCGACAATCTCCACTGATAGATTTGCAGCAAAGTATACAATCTCCAATTCCACCTTTAGAAATTAGTAATTTGTGTTACCTGATATCCTAACATTTGATGTTATAACGTATTTTAGAGATTTAATTTTGTGTTTTTTTACTGGTACATACTGTTACGTTCTATTGCAGCAAATGGCACTTAAAAATATATTTAAAATAGGTATATATACGTTTTATTGTTTTAAGAATTATAAAAAAAGTTATCTGCAAGAAAAGGCTGATAATGTCAAAACATTGCAAGTAAAACATTACGGAGCAAAGTGGGAAGAAGATGATGAGTTGTACTATAAAAACTTTTTTGCACGAGGCAACCTGGTCCCAGATTTAGAAGAAACTCCAGATTTATGTGGTCCAGTTCAGAATTTTCCCACATTGATTGTATAGTTAAATTTGGTACCCATTAAAGGAATAAAAAAACAATTATTTTTTTGTTTATTTTTCTAAATCTCCTTAAACGTTTACAACAAAATGAGCAATCTCCAGCAATTCATATCAAAGTCAGCAATCTCCAATTTATAATTATAGATTTCACCTATACTATGCATCCTGGAAACCTTGTAGTTGGCTACTAGACTAACAACAACAATATTTCAATATAATATAAAAAATTACAAATCTAGAATTTAAAATACCAAAATCAATTATCTCAATTTACTCAGTTTTAGTCTGATGGGAGATTGTTGTCTTTTCTCTGACAGGCCTCATATAATTAAACTGAAAAAACTGAAATATAGCATAACTATAAATTTTAGGAGGCAGATTCAAAGAGATCTACTACTGGGACACATATTGGATAGTACATGGTCTTCTAATTTGTGATATGAAGGAAACTGCAAGAGGCATGGTGGAAAATTTGCTATCCCTAGTAGAAAGATATGGGTTTGTTCCAAATGGAAACAGAGTCTACTACCTAAACAGATCTCAACCACCCTTGCTAACTTTAATGTTTGCTTTATACGTACGCTATACGCTTAACTACGCCTTCATGGAGGAACATATACATATTCTCGAGCAGGAAATCGACTTTTGGCTTACAAAACGCATCCACGAGTTAGAAAAAAATGGCAGGGTGTACAAACTTCTCTCGTATGGAAGTCAAAGCGACACCCCACGCCCGGAAAGTTACATTGAAGACATAGAAACATGCAGTTACTACAGCAAAGCCGAGGAAATAGCCGAGTGCTACTTGGACCTTAAAGCGGGTGCGGAAAGTGGATGGGATTTTTCTTCTCGTTGGATTTTCGACAAGAAAGGCAGTCCAAACGCCAATTTGTCCCACATACAGACCAGAAGAAACCTACCGGCCGATTTGAACTCGTTTATGTATATGAATTTTATGGAGTTGTACAAGATGTTTTTAAAGTTGAATAATCAGAAGAAAGCACAAAAATACTTAGGTAAGAGGGAGCTGAATGGTTGTTTAATATAAAAAAACATTATTAGCCAGATAGCACACAAAGTCTTTTGTATGTCTGTATTATGCCTGAAAGTCTGAAGATCTAAAAAAGATGTCTGAAAGACGTCTTTTGATAGACGTCTTAAAGATTTAATGTTCTAAAGACATCTTATAAATGCCTGATGCAGCCGTTTATTTTTTTTTTATATTTTGATAAAAAAGTGAATTTTGTCAAAATTGAAATTATATTCCATAATCAGCGACTTCATAGTAAGATATAATTAGGTACCATCTTATTTTGGTGTAATAGAAAAAACATTAATTTTGAGTTTTGACAAGGACGATGGATAGGGTAACTGAATAAATACAGGGTGTTACGTAATTAATGTTATACAGTGCTTGCAAATCCAAGTCCGACCGCGTTGGAAAGGATGGTTATTCAATACCCGCGTGAAAAGAATAAGGATAGAATGCCAAACAGAATTTGATTGGTCAGAGCGTCAGGCGTGCGTATTGTAAGCGCCTTCTGTTTGGCGTTCTATCCTTGTTATTTTCACGCGTATATTAAAATGGGTTGTTCCTTAGGGTCCATAAAGAAGCACCTGAAACTTTTTTTTTCTAAATTCCAAAGAATAAAAATAATTTATTATAACCTTTATCCTACCAAAAAGTAAGCCACTGATCGACTAGGAACTTTAGGGTAATCTGGTTGCCTAATTTAATTTATTATGTTATGGTTGGTAACCCTGGTTGGTAACAACAGCATTTCCAAATTCTATCAAAAAAGTTGACAAACATTGTTTAAATTTAGCTTAATTACAAAAATGATAAAATTAACAATGCAAATTGTCAATTTGGCGTTTTTATTAATTGTTGGTTATGTCATTTTTGTACTGAAGGTAAATTCAAACAAAATCTGACAACTTTTATGAAATTTTAGGTTATGTGCTCAAATTGTAAATATTTTAACTAAGGGAAGTGCTTTTGGATTTATTTACACAAATTAAATGTTTAAAGTTTAACCTATGAACTGGTCCCAATTTCATCTGAGTAAACAGAAAGAAAAAAACCGAGGAAAAAATTAATTTTGTGGTTATGGATTTTTTAAAATAGGTACTAAATTAATTTTTGAATCATTGCTTAAGCTAATAGCTGGATGAGTAAATAAATACAGAAGGGTATTAGAACTTTAAGGGCATAAAACTTGTATTTATTGAGTTTTTATTTATTTTTTGCAAGAAAAAATTTTTGGTAACAATTTTTTACATCTGGCAACGCGCAGCTACTTTGTTGGTTGGTATTTATGTACTCACAGAACACAAGTGTGCAGAGATAAACCAATTGTGTAATCAGTGGCGTATCACAAAAAATATAAAAAACTCCCAATGCCAATTTTTTCTTCATCTTTGCAAAAATATTTTTTTAAATATTTTTCCTTTACTCCTTATGTTAAAAGGTATTCAGTATTTTAATATATAAAATTAATTACATAACACCCTGTATATATCTGACATTCTTGTAGATTGGTTATTTTTTCTACAATTAATAATATCTATTTGTAATAAAAATATTATAAACAAACATGTTTTTTAAAAATTAAGTATTAAGATAAAATACCCTTAAAATAACCCAGCGAAAGTTTTTAAATCAAATTACCTGCACAATTCCCATAATGCAATGAAATCATCCTTATGCTGTTATTTTCTATGTCACCCGTTCGACGTTCAACAACTCAAGTGACAAGTCAAAGTAGTGTGCAGTGTTGATTTTTAATTTTTTTTGTGCATTTGGTGACGTTTTCCATAGGTAGTCTTTAAAATCTTAACGACGTTTAGCAACGACTTAATAATGCCGTTAAAAGGACATCTTAAAGACGCTGTGTTTTGTAACATAAGATATCTTAAAGATGTCTTAAAGATGACTTACGTCGGAAACTGGACGTCTAGAGATGTCATAAACGTCGGATTTCGACATCTTTAAGATATCTTTAAGATGTCTGTGCTATCTGGGTACAATTTCTAGATCTTGCAAATCAGTGGAAAGAGAGCATAGAAACGTTTCTGTGGAACGAGGAAGACGGAATTTGGTACGACTACGATGTGTTATTAAAAAAACAAAGAAGATGGTTTTACGCGAGCAATGTGACACCTTTATGGGCCAAAGCTATGGATATACAGTTGTTATCTGAAAGGGCGGATAGAGTTGTGGCATATCTAAGAAACAACGGAATCATTGGTAAGACTTCTATTCAAAACTCTTGGTCACCAAATTTTTGTAAAATATTTTATTTTTAAAGATTGTCTTGGTGGTATACCATCCTCATTCCTATCATCTGGGCTACAATGGGATCTACCGAATGCCTGGGCTCCCACACAGGGAATATTAATTTTTGGCTTGGAGAATTCTGGAAGTGTTGAAGCTAAGAATCTTGCCAATGTTTTGGCAGTAAACTGGGTAACAAATGTTTTTTATAATAATAGTTACTTTCCGAAATAATATAATAATCAAATACGTTTTTTTTCAGGTGAGATCGAATAGAAAAGCGTTTCAGGAAAACCGGGTAATGTTCGAAAAATATAATTCCCAATACAGCGGTCAATATGGTGGTGGGGGAGAATATGTAATTCAATCTGGGTTTGGTTGGAGCAATGGGGTAATGTTGGAGTTGATAAACCACTACTACAGAAATCACACTTTCGTCCACAAAAAGAAGAAATCGCCCTAAACCATGTTTTATTCAATAAAACTATTCGTAATATTGGTGTTTTATTTATGTAATTTTTTTTAAATGGCATTTTTTTAACGAGTCAAAGGCGAGTTTTAAACTTCTTATTATAATGGATAATTGCAGGTACATGCATTTTTTCTTCAAGCAAATTATTTTTCAAAATCAATATTTAAATAGTATAAAAAAGTGATTGGGCTCATTTTACATTTGTCTGAAGATTGTCGCGCTGGGGCACAATATTTGTGATTTTATTATTAACATATTAAAAACTTGTATGAATCTTTGTACACAGCCTACTAAAATATTTGATATAGAACGTAAACAATTGCAATTAAAAGACAAGTTTTCAAGTGCTGTAAAATCACAGCAAATACTTCGCAAGCGCATATGTACTACCATAAAAATTACTTTCGGTATTTTCCTTCTTTCTCTTACAACTCGCTAAAACCTATTTTTTATGTATATACACTAGACTGAAAGTTAATTAATATTAAGAGGTCTATCATCGCAATTTAATGTTTTTTTCCTGAGCGAGTTTTTGTCTCAGAACTCCCAAACCATTGAGTTTAAAAAAATTGTCTTATGAATATGTTTTGAAGAAAATTTAATGCTCTACAAAAAAGGTTTAATTGGAATTTCTTGTCAGATTAACCGTTTTCTTACAATCATGCCTTAAAAATTGGTATAGTTTTACAATTTTATCTTTTAACTTTGGAATTTTGTAACTCATTTAAAAAACCAGTATCCGGAAAAAAACTGAACGATATTCTTATGGGAAATCAAAATTTTTAATGCTCTACAAAAAAAGTCTCCTAACATTTTTGGCAAAATTCACTGCATCAAAAGTTATTCAAGGTTAAATTTGAAGTCAAAAGATTTTTTTTGGGTCAGTTAAAAACTTGAATTCTTTTATCGATGATAATCTTTATGTTATTGATAAAAATTACTGAAAATTTAAAAATTAGAATTGGAATTTTTTCGCTTTAAGCTATTTTCTTTAGAAAATATTATCTTTTTAATCGTTTAAATAATGACGGCAAAATGTTTACAAAAACCAGAGTTAAAAAAGTAAACACTTATCTTAATACATGTGCAAAAAATAATTTTAATATCACGATATAATCATTTTTATGTAATCGCTGGAAAACTTCCGCGGTATAATAATAACAATCATGTTGTTTTTTTATTGGAAGTTGATAATGAGTTATATAATACACATTTATAAAAAAAAAATCAAATTATCATTCATAAAAAAAATCGGCAGAGGAAGAAACAAGGATTTCGTTTTGATTTCAACTTTAACCTTGAATAACTTTTGATGGAGTGAATTTAGCCAAAAATGTTTGAAGATTTTTTTTGTAAAGCATTTGATTTCCCATAAAAATATACATCGGTTTTTTTCTGGGTACTGATCTTTACATGAATTAAAAAATTCCAAAGTTAAAAGTAAAACTATACCAATTTTTAAGGCATGATTTTAAGGAAACGGTTCATCTGACGGGAAATTTCATTTTAATCTTTTTTGTAGAGCATTTAATTTTCTTAAAAACATATTTCTATGTCAATTTTGTTAAACTCAATGGTTTGGGAGTTCTGAGACAAAAATTTGCTGAGGAAAAAAATTTAAAATTGCGATGATAGACCTCTTAATATTAATATTATGGACTCAAACTTTCACAATATTTTTTTTTGTCACCCCAAACCATATTTTCGATATACTTTTCAAAAAAAATAGTTTATTTTTTTGGCCCAGTCTAATATACAATGTTTATAATGTTGACGCAAAAAACGAATTTAAAAAAACCTAAATTTATATTTTTTAAAAAATTCATTACACAAAATCTAGACGTGATAGAAAAAATCGGCCAACGGGAACAAATTCAGAGCATTTAAGTCTTCATATTTATGATGTAATTTTTTAAAGGAGGATTTCGTTGCAGACCAGTGTAATTTGGTTATAAGATTATTGACATTCAAACATTTATTGAAAGGTTATGGTGCTCAATGAAATTGCTCAAACATTAACCAATAATTGATACCTACCATTGGCCATTGTTTGCTGGGATATAAATACTTACCTTTTTAAATGAACGCGTCACAGCACATTTTGCTGAAATACGATTGGTTTTAAATAAAAAATCTCAGTGAAGAAATAAGATAAAATTTATTACAAATGCAAGCTTGAAAAAGCTTCTTTGGTAAATTGTTGCCTAAATTTAACAACAAGAACATCTGTGTGCTAATGCGAAAAAATCTTTAATAATAATAATAATAAAATACATTTAAAATACTGAATTAAGTTTAACTTAATGATAAAAATAAGTTTCCATCTCTCTGTTTTTGCGGAAAAATAAATTATAAACAACATTTTGGAATAAAAACTCAATCACAACAAATAATAATGTCTCGTATATCCAATAGTAATATAAAACAAAATATAAGTCATAAATACCTACAGGGCCAAGCCTCGTCCATAACAGTCTCTCGGTAACATCTCACTGCTGTCCCAGTACTTCCGGTATAGCCGCCACACTTTCGTTCTCGATTTTGACCGCAGGTGGCGCCTGCGTTCCCTGGCTGGAGGCGTGGCTGCTGGATCGCGAGTGGCTCCCCCCTCCGATCGGCGTTTGTATCTGCGGGGTGGGGGGGCTCTTGCCGACGCCGTGCGTCGCGGTGCCGCTCTGCAGTTGCATGTGGTACTTGTAGATGTTCTCCGTCGATTCGACCACGCCCTGCGTGAGGTTCAGGCTGCGGCCTCGCACGCCCGTTTCTTTCGTCTTCGGCGACCACCAGTTTACGAACGAGCCGACCACGGGGACGTGTCGTAAGATGCCTTCCTGCCACAGTTTCTCCTCGTTTTCTTTCTGAAGATCCAGGGTGGCTGTTTCGATTCCTGGCGAAAAGAGGTCGGCGAGGTTCATAATGGGGTAGTTAAATTTTTTCTGACCTATACTTTTTATGGTTTTATTCAAGGCGTTTTGTAATTTTAAACATTTCTGTGAAATCGGAATTTCAATTGAGATTACTGTTTTCGAGATATTTACAAAAAAAAATTTCCTAATTACGTCACTAGGCTATTGACAACGTTGCCAGCTTTTTCTATGGTTGCGAGTGTGTTTAGTTTAAGATGGCGTTTAAGATGTCGCCACGTTATAATATTTTAGTTTTAAAACCACTTGATCTATAATTTTAGTTGAGAAAAAGAAGAAGAATTGATTTTTTGACGTTTCTTCTTTTCGGGTTATGTTTTTTTTAAATTTAGATTATTGAAAATCAATGTTATTGTTATGTTATTTGTAATTGATATTAGATAAGTGATTTATTAATAACGGACTCCAAAGCAGATGAATCTTGTGGAATGGTTGGTTACATTGAACATTGGAGCTTTTAAACAAATAAAGTATAATGCCTAGTTCTTTATATTCTTTTAGATATATCTTGGACTCTAAAATATCAAACAGTAATATGATACCTCGTAATAAGGAAGATAGGTACTTAATGAATTTGGTGACCATCTTTCACTCAACTGACAGTGACAGTATTTGTACATAACCTCTTCGGGTATTTTCTGACATAACCGAATGAAATCATTAACAAGACAACTTGACAACAGGGTAATTTTCAACCAATAGAAATCTAGAATGTTGGTCACATGGCGAGGTTTGTGACGTCATAAAAATTTATATTTTTTGTAAATATCTCGAAAACGGTAAACTCAATTGAAATTCTGATTTCACAGAAATGTTTAATATTACAAAACGCCTTGAATAAAACCATAAAAAGTATAGGTCAGAAAAAATTTAACTACCCCATTGGGTACACAAAGATTTGCATTTGAAAAATATTGCACAAAATATGTTTGCAACCTTCTGAATAAGCTTTATGTCATTTTAAAATGTTGTTATTCTAATATGTCTAAAACCGTGTTATGTACTCACATTCTTAAGTACTATGCTCCACACCTCAAAGTCCCACCACGTGACCACGTACGGAACGCAGTCTTTTGAAAATTTGGCATTTAAGGCTTTTCAGGTTATGTATCTGTCAAAGTATGGTCAACGAAAGAAATAATATTATGTTTAGGCGTTAAAAATGTATAAATCTTTATAACATTACTATAACAATGGATGGTTTAAGAATTTAAGAATATAAATACTGCATTTAATGAAATTCTAAAGTGTATGGTGCCAAATAAGTAATATTTTTGTGCATTTGGTCCAAATATCTGGTTTACTCCATAAAATAATTTTAACTAAACAGCATTTATTAAAAAACATCTAGCTTCTCTATTATGGAATAAGAATATCTGTTTTAAAGGAGGGTTAATATATTATAACAAAAATATCATCTAATTTTGTAATTTTAAGGTTGGAAAAATTTATTTTGACCAAAATAAATAAGTATTTTGGAGTATTTAAAAGACTGTAACATATGGTATTTAAACATGTGGTACTTTTTCTTATCCAGCTTAAAGTGTACCTACATAAAGTTTTGTCAATACAAATAGTTAAAAAGCTTCGACTGAACTTGATCTACATCGAAAAATCATTTTTTAATTAATTTTAATAAATCACACGTCATGGGAGTATTAAATATTTTCACATTGCAAGTTTCTCTAAAAATTGTTTGTTTTCTTATAATCTAACTTAAAGTAGGTATGCCGAGAGGTATGCACAAGTTTTGTCATTAGAAGTATAAAAGCTTCAATTTAATTTGAACCATATTCAACAATTATTTATTATACCTATATTAACCTACCTTTGATACAGATATTCTTATTTCATAATAGAGAAGTTAGATTTTTTTAAATAAATGCTGTTTAGTTAAATCTATTTTATGGAGAAATGTAGACCCAATGCACAAAAATATCACTTATATTGCACCTTACACTTTGGAATTTCATTAAATGCAGTATTTATATTCCTAAATTCTTAAACCAACCATTGTTATTGTGATAGAATAAAGATTTATTAACTTTTAACGCTTAAACATAAGCGGTAACACTATAAATATTATCTGTTTCATTGACTATACTTTCACAGATTATACAACTTATTATAATTATACTTTGACAGATACATAACCTGAAAAGCCTTAAATGCCAAATTTTCAAAAGACTGCGTTCCGTACGTGGTCACGTGGTGGGACTTTGAGGTGTGGAGCATAGTACTATGCTCCACACTTCAAAGTCCCACCACGTGACCACGTACGGAACGCAGTCTTTTGAAAATTTGGCATTTAAGGCTTTTCAGGTTATGCATCTGTCAAAGTATAGTCAATGAAAGAAATAATATTTATACTGTTACCGTTTATGTTTAAGCGTTAAAAGTTTATAAATCTTTATAGTATCACAGTAACAATGGTTGGTTTATGAGTTTAGTAGTATAAATACTGCATTTAATGAAATTCTAAAGTGTATGGTGCCAAATAAGTAAAATTTTTGTGCATTTGGTCTACATAATATGTTAATATATTATATCTGGTGTTATCCATAAAATAGTTTTAACTAAACGGCATTTATTAAAAAAATCTAGCTTCTCTATTATGGAATAAGAATATCTGTATCAAAGGTAGGTTAATATATTATAACAAAAAATATCATCTAATTTTAAAATTTTAAGGTTAGAAAAATCTATTTTGATCAAAATAAATAAGTATTTTGGATTATTTGGAAGAGTGTGTTAATATGGTCATATAAATATAGATATACTAAATAGTTTTTGAATATGGTTCAAATTAAATTAAAGCTTTTATACTCCTAACAACAAAACTTGTGCATACCTCTCGGGATCCCTAATTTAAGTTAGATTATAAGGAAACAAACAATTTTTAGAGAAAAAAAATATTTAATACTCTGGATGTTAAATAAATAAATAAATAAATAAATAACGTGATTTTTGAAATTTTTAAAAGTTAATGATTTTTCGATGAAGATAAAATTCAGTTGAAGCTTTATATGTAATTGTATTGACAAAACTTTATGTAGGTATACTTTAAGCTGGATAAGAACTACAAGTAAAAATATTAGATAGAGTATACTGTGGTTTTATTTAAATTTTAGAATTTATAAGGTTATTTATACCTAATGATTGTTCGATGTAGATAAAATGTTGTCGAAGCTTTTATAGGTACTTGTATTGACACTATGGGTATATTAGCTGACAGTGTAAGGAACTTTAAGAAGGTTAGCTATTGAATTTTTAAAAAGAATTTACATTTTTTTAAAATTAAGTATCTAATGGTTTTATATTTGAAATTTGCAAATTTTAATAATTTTGAGGTGTTGTTTTTAGATTTCTTCTTTACAATAAACCCCTTTTAATATTTAATTAATTTTAAAAATCTTAAAATAGTTAAGTTTTACAGTTGAAAATATTTATGCTGGAGTAAAACAAAATAGACATCATAATTGAACAACTGGCTCTTGGAAATAAGCAATACTAAACATTTCAAATATAAAACCATTAGATACCTACTTAATTTTAAAAAACTGTAAATTCTTTTTAAAAATTCAATAGCTAACCTTCTTAAAATTCCTTACTTTTTTCACTCAGCTAATATACCCATACTGTCAATACAAGTACATATAAAAGCTTCGACAAAATTTTATCTACATCGAACAATCATTAGGTATAAATAACCTTATAAATTCTAAAATTTAAATAAAACCAATATATTATATATATATAATATTTTTACTTGTAGTAGTCTTTCTTATCCAGCTTAAAGTATACCTACATAAAGTTTTGTCAATACAATTACGTATAAAGCTTCAACTGAATTTTATCTTCATCGAAAAATCATTATAACTTTTAAGAATTTCAAAAATTACATGTTATGGGAGTATTAAATATATTTACATTGCATGTATCTCTAAAAATTGTTTGTTTCCTTATAATCTAACTTAAATTAGGGATCCCGAGAGGTATGCACAAGTTTTGTTGTTAGGAGTATAATAATTTAATTTAAACCATATTCAACAATTATTTAGCATATCTATATTTATATGAACATATTAACACACTCTTCCAAATAATCCAAAATACTTATTTATTTTGATCAAAATAGATTTTTCTAACCTAAAAAAAAAATTTAAAATTAGATGATATTTTTTGTTATAATATATTAACCTACCTTTGATACAGATATTCTTATTCCATAATAGAGAAGCTAGATTTTTTTAATAAATGCCGTTTAGTTAAAACTATTTTATGGATAAAACCAGATATAATATATTAACATATTATGTAGACCAAATGCACAAAAATTTTACTTATTTGGCACCATACACTTTAGAATTTCATTAAATGCAGTATTTATACTCCTAAACTCTTAAACCAACTATTGTTACTGTGATACTATAAAGATTTATAAACTTTTAACGCTTAAACATAAACGGTAACAGTATAAATATTATTTCTTTCATTGACTATACTTTGACAGATACATAACCTAAAAAGCCTTAAATGACAAATTATCAAAAGACTGCGTTCCGTACGTGGTCACGTGGTGGGACTTTGAAGTGTGGAGCATAGTACATTTAACATTTTATTTTTTTTATTTCACCCTTAAGTACAGTGCAAACCAAAATTTTAAACTAGATTTAATTATTTTCTTCTAAAACTAAAAGTTTTAGGTTAGATACTAATTGTAAATCGACCCACCTAAAATTTCGCTTAAAAATTAGGTAGTTAATGTTTCTAGTTTCGATTTATTGTAAAAGGTTTTATTTTCAAAGTTATTATTTACAAATGATGCAATCAAATTTAGATTTAAGGATCAAGTGTTTATAAAACTGCATTTTTAAATCTTTCTTTGGCCTTATTTTTTTTACAGAAAAGTGGTTTAAAGATTTTTAAGACTGTCTGTTTAAGATTTGGTTTTATTCGTGTTGTATTTTATTTTTATAAAATACTTAATTTATTTAAAATGATTACTGTTAAAACTAAGGAATTCTAGAGAAATATTTTTAACCAAGTCTGGTGATTTTTAAAGTGACCATGTTGGCAACACTGCATAAAACCATGAAATAATTATTTTTTTTACTCCCACCTTTAAAACGCCCTTTATCGTACATGTTTCCATGACACTAAGTGACCTTTTAAATACACATTGACAAGTTGTGGCTTTACGGCGCTTTAGTCACGGGCTGAAGTTAGCAACAGGTTTTTAGTCACTGGCTGAAGTTAGTTTTAAGTTAGTTGACAGTTCAAATGTCATACAATCATTAAAATAAAGTGCCCTTCTTGTAAAATAATAATAAATGTGAAAATCATTTTATTATTTCAATACAAAAATACAAAAGTATTAAATTGTTTTTGCCGTAGTAGTGCAGTTAACTAGAATTAACTGATAGAGCCTTGATTTAAACAGAAAAATTTGAGATTTTAACGCCAGTAGATTCCCAAGTTACAAATTCTAACGGGAAATCCAATAAATACAAAAAGAATTTTTAATACCTTATGATAATATTTTGCAATTACATATAGTAATAAAAAAATAAAAGGAGAGCATATTTTCTTAACATAATCATATTTTAAGGTTATTTTAATATTTTAAAGTATCAATAATTGTTAAGTTTTATTAAAATAACGGGCAATGTTAATGGTGAAAATTACGTCAAAAATGTTTGTTGGGATGTTTACTTTATTTTCGTATAGATGTCGCCTTATATAAATATTTAATTTAAATCATGTTTTAGATATTATTAAGTAATTTTCGTATAAAAAGTATTATATGCAACTTGTTTATAAACTTTTCTATAGGCACTCATTTAATAAAGCACTCGCTCGCAAGATCTCTCGTGCCTGAATTAAATTCGTGACTAACGTGGCGTTTATCAAACTTGGTACATATTATACTATTTTTTAAAATTCTAAATTGTGTTTTGGTATGTGTTACTCACATTCTTAAGCACATTTGGCATTCTATTTTTTTTATTTCACCTTTAAATAAGTTTGTCAATAAATTTAGCAACTTGGTGTCATTTTTTTCATCTGAATAAAATGGTGAAAAGAGAAAAAAAAATTGAACGTCGGGTTTCCGAAATATTCACAAAAATAACATTTGTAATATTCAATTAAGTGAGTTGACTAATAATAGTAATAACAATAATTAATAATAATAATTAGTTCAAAGAAAGAGTAAAAATGTAATTTTATGAACACTTGACCATAAACTTGACTAAATTTAATTTTACCAATTAATAAAAATAAATAAGAAACATCAAATACTTTTATAATTATAAAATATTAAATTTTCCAGCAAAATTTTAGGGATGTCGATTTACAATTATAATTGTAAATATTCTATAGTCTTATAATGTTTATAAGTATTAGGTTACTATAACATTTAAATTTTTTGTCAGAAATGTGGTTTAAAGTGTAAGCTGGGTGATTTTTTTCCTAGTTCTATGGATTTTTACGACTGTCATTTTAAGATTTGGTTTTATTCGTGTTATCTTTTTATAACATATTTAATTTATTAAAAATTAGTACTGTTTGTTTCATTAGTTTAGTAATTTAAATAAAAACATTTTTATTTATACTCTTTTATATAATTATTGTTAAAACTAAGGAATTCTAGGGACTTTTTGAACCAAATTTAGGAATTGTGTCCATGTTGGCAAAACTGCATAAAACAATAAAATAATTATATTTCTAGGGTAGTTATGCAATACTATTTTTTTTCCAAATTAAATTGTATTTTAAAATATTTAAAAATAGACAGGGTGTCCCAATTGAAAAATGCTATTTTTGTGAATATTTCGGAAACCCGACAATTAATTCTTGTTTTGTTTTCATCATTTAAATCAGAAGAAAAAATGCCACCAATTTTAAACTTAGGTTTTTAAAGAAATGGATCAACATGTGCATTTAGGGTTGTTTTAAAAGTGGTAGAAAGTAAAAAAAAAGATTTATTGATTTGTTTTGAAGATCCGTTCAAAGAAAGTAACACTTAGTTGGTGTACAATGAAGACCGACTACTTATTTACCAGTTGAATTTTCTAAAAATACTTTATCTATATCTAAAATAAAATTATTTTCTTCTTCAAAACTCTTCCTCTACAAAAAACGACGCACTGCAAGAGCACAAAATGTGGGTACACAAAATGGCAGGATTGTTATCAAAATTGAAAGCAGTAGCCATGCTCTTGATATAAACTCCATGAGAAAGATAGTAATGATAATAATTATTATAATATTAATTTTATGTACAAATTTTAGTCTATTTTGTTGTTTATAATAGTTGTATACAATATTCGTATAGGTACAATAGTTTTATTCAATAGAAATAGGAAAAAATCCGATTTAAATTTAAACAAATTAGATTTGTTTTAAATGTAAAAACAACCTTTAATAAATTGTTACAAATACCAACTACTAAAACAAAATTTTTACCTTTTTTGACGATCTCGCTCATAGAATCCAAAACCCGCGAGTTCTCTTCGACGCTCTGTCCGACCCTGACGACCAAACTCAGCAATTCTTCGACGTCAGATTGCGGCGTCAGCATGCCGAAACGGACGCACAGCAAACCGTCTGTACCTTCTCCGAGAGAAAACGCCGAATCCGTGGACCTCAAAGAGTCGACCAGGGCCATATTTAGCTGGTTCAGCTCGTCTTTAGCCTGGTCGGTAAGAAGTTCTTCCCAGCCTTCCGGGGCGTATCTTACTCCACCCATACCTACACACAGAATACTGTACTATATTCATTGAACCAAAAAAAACATCAAAACAATTTTACCATTAACAACAATTAAAACATTTGTAAATTTTTAATGTTCTTAATTGTTGAAATTGTTTTAATAAATATAGTATGTTTCTATGGGGCGCCGTTTTATTTGTCTTATGTGTTAACACCAAAGTGATAATTTTAATTAGATAAAAAATATCCTATAAGAATTTGTATTCTGCGAATTAAAAATGTCATGGTAAATATTTAAAAATTAATTTAATTTTTATGCCAACCCTCTTCACAATCCTCCCAATGGCCTTCTTTATCAAACATTAAAAATCAAAGTTCCAATTCTTGAAAGATTAAAAAATCTTTCAACTAAGTTTGCTGCTAAGGATCACAACATTGAGATACTATCACAATTATGCATCACCAGAGAAGTCGATGAAAATGCCACAAAATTCCCGGAAAATACAATATTGGAAATAATCCTACAATTGTCTAATAATATTTAGTTTTTTTGTATCACTTAAAGTAGTTTGTAACAGGCTATTTTGTATTATATGTTCTGTATTGTACTGAATATGCAATAAAAACTTTATTTATTTATTTTTATGCCAAACTGATTTGATGAATTTAAAATATCTGTTTCTTATATTTGTATTTTTTAGTTAAAAACATTTTTAATTCGCTAAATTAAAAATATCATCGGCGAAATTTTTAAATGCATTAAAAACATCATAGGAGATATTTTAAATCAGCATATAATTTTAATTGAATGTGCTATTTTTAACTCAGATTAAAGGTTTGGACACCCCTGGTATTCCAAACTAATTCTTAATCAGTCGGAATTAAAAATTCAATTTTTTTTTAATAAAAATTAAATCTAATTAAAAATTTATCCCGATATTTATAATTCAATTAAAAATTTGTCCCATGATATTTTTAATTCATTTAAAAATTTCTCCTATGATATTTTTAATTCAGCGAATTAAAAATATCAGTTTGGCATAAGCATTAGATCTAATTTTTGAAATATATGTATAAATAAAAAAATCACATGAACATGTCTAATCTTCGAATTAAAAATATCGTGGCAGATATTTAAAAATTAGATTTAATTGTTATGCCAAACTGATATTTTTTTTAATGAATTTAAAATATTTGTATTTTTTTGTTAACCACATTTTAAATTCGCTAAAGTAAAAATATCATAGGAAATATTTTTAATTAATATCAGGGGTGTCCAAACTTTCAATCTGAATTAAGTAAAAGCATCATATTCAATTAAAAATATCTGCCTTTTTCATAAAATAAAAATTAAATCGAATTAAAAATATCTCCTATGATATTTTTAATACAATTAAACATTTCTTCTATGATATTTTTAATTTAGCGAATTATAAATGTGTTTAGCAAAAAAATAGAAATATAAGAAGCAAATATTTTAAATTATCTAAATAAAAAATATCAGTTTTGTAAAATATATTAAATCTAATTTTTAATTAAGCGAATTAAAAATGTGTGTTTAACAAAAAAAAAAAAAATATAAGAAACATATATTTTAAATTCACTAAATTAAAAATATTAGTTTGGTATAAAAATTAAATCTAATTTTAAAATATCTCCTATGATATAATTAATTCACAAAATAAAAATTCTTATGTGATATTCCTGAATAAAAAAATAAATCAAATAAAAAATGTACATAATTTTACAAAAAAAACTATTGTACAGCACTATATTATTTAAAATCCAAATTGATGTGATAAAACAACAAAAAATCTTGTTGTTCTAGATAAAAACTAGCAACTATCAAAAACAATAATTGGTTTTGCTTATCTATAAATAATGTACCAACACATCCAAAAAAAAAGAACACCTTGTAAAATTATTATACACTCATACTAAAATAATGGGTAACTATCGATTGCGCACAGCGGTCAGTTTTTACCTGCAAAAATTAACCCTTAATCCCATTCCCAATTGATTTACGGGGTGATCTCAAAAAGCCTATTAAGGGACACATATTTAAACAATAAATTTATTATTATTTTGTAATATATTTATAACAAACTTTTTGTACAAAATCAAACATAGGAATTGAATTATTTTTATAAGAAGTAACTAAATTGATGTTTCTTATAGTTGGCATTTTTAGAAACAGGCAAGTGAACACTGTTTATTTTAATTGTAGTGTTTAACTGAATATCTCTCAACCCACATATGAACCTGAAAATGTCTGGGTGCGCAACATAAAAACTTGCATTAAATTTGCTATGAAAAGATTCACATGCGTTTGTTGTCCGTTCAGAACTACTAGTACAAGAAGCCCAGATATTTGGTGGAAAAGTGGCACTTTCAGAAATATAGTTATCTACTAAGTAATCCGCGTACTTTATGACATTTTCATTTTGTGGAATTATAGAATAGAAATCTTCAACAAAACACTCTTCCACATTATAACTATCTAAAAACAATAGTCCAAATGTCCATTTAAGCCACTGACCTATCTCAGAATCATTATTTTTGTATTCACTAACTAATCCTAAATTTTGTATTTTCCTAAACCACGCCTGTGTTAAATGAAACCTGCATCCTATGAATAAATTAATTAATTGACAAAATAATGTTTAACAATATTATTACCTAATAACGAAATAATATTACCTTAATAAGGATTAAATTAATTAATTGACAACAATGTTTAACAATATTAAACATTTTTTTACCTTATTTTTTTAAATTGAAAATCGCATTCTTATTATTAAAAAAAAAATTTAACTCCCTTTTTCAAGAACTATAAAAATCACCCCGTATACAAATATTGCAAATAATCCTTTTATACTGACAGGTAAAAACTGAACATTGTGCGCAATCGATAATCACCGAAAATAATAAGATAAAAATAAAGACGTTTCGTTCTTACCTGCCCATTCTGGCAGCTCAACCAGCTTCAAAACTGGGGAAGCTTCAACCAACTTGGCAAAAGTATCCTTGTGATGTATTGTAGCTTTAAGAATGACCAGCTGCTGCTCAAGACACTGAATGAAACCCTGAATTTCTTCAACAGTGGGCTGAGAGCCGTTTATATTCTCTAAAGGACAAAACCTAAGCACCACACCTACGTTTTCGAGCTCACAAATGTCGATAGGTACCTAAAAATAGTATATTTAAAAGTAGTATGACCACTACTGGGGCATTTTTAATTTTTATTTACCTGTGGAGCATCCAGTTGCAGAATTTGCCCCAGCCATGAGTTCAGTTTGTCGAAATATTGAGGAACTCTATTCAGTGTGTCATCTGATTCTATTTCTGGGACAAATTGAAACACAACAGTGCATGATGTCGATTCGAAAAGTAACTAAAATGTTGGTGTTTTATAATTTTTTTGTAATTAAAATAAAACGTAAAAAACCTACCGGGATATTCGCAGGTTTCGACATTAATTCAGAAACTGTGTAAGTGCCACTTTCACCGCCAGGTTTTGTGCTCTAAAAATTAGGAAAAACAAACAGTTTTGTGGTTTTTAACATTCTTAAATTTGTTCATGACATTCTTAAATCTGGAGGGTGAATAGCAAATTAGAAATATCATTAATATGTATTAAACATTATATAAAATTACCAGATTTCTTAGGATATAAATTCAACGGCGATATAAAATTTAGGGTAGGGTAAGTAAAATTCCAGTGAAAAGCCTGAAAATTGGTCCTAGTATAATGTTTAAATTTGGTCCTAATATTATTTTAAATTATATGCTTGCAAAAACATTATTACATGAAAAGTAGCTGCTATTAACAATTTTTATTTTTGAAAACTTAAATCAAATTTTGAGATGAAAGTAACAGGAACATTTTTGGGTTCACACAATACTAAGTTAATAAAAGTTTAATTTAATTTAAGTTTCAAAGTTAAGGAATTACTTAAAAGCTTTGTAAAATTAAATTAAAGTATAAAATATGGAACAAGAAAATTGATAAACAATGGTTTAAAGGATAAAAAATATAAAAATTGAAGAAGTATTTGAAATATGGGTATGTAATCCTTTAATCATGCCTTTGGCATAAACTAGGAATAATAATAAATAAATAATAAAGGTTTTCTATAAAATTTGCTTTAGTGGTCATATTTTGCATTTAGACGCCTGATAAGTAATCTTAAAAATTAATAAACAAAAATTCTGTTATTATTTTAATTAAATCAGTATAAAATATAAATAAACATATAAAAAGTATGGAAAAGTATAAAATATGGAACAAGAAAATTGATAAACAATGGTTTAAAGGATAAAAAATATAAAAATTGAAGTATTTGAAATATGGGTATGTAATCCTTTAATCATGCCTTTGGCATAAACTAGGAATAATAATAAATAAATAATAAAGGTTTTCTATAAAATTTGCTTTAGTGGTCATGTTTTGCATTTAGACGCCTGATAAGTAATCTTAAAAATTAATAAACAAAAATTCTGTTATTATTTTAAAAATGCAAATTACATAACCTACAGCGTCAAAATAAACGATTAGGTTAAAATATTCGTGGAAAATATCAGATAACATTCAAAGGAATTGTTAACAAATGCACAATAAAACAATAAAATTAAGTATAGGTATTAGAGTGGTCCAAAAAATACCATTTTTTAGTATCCTATGAAAATGTAATAGTTTATTATCATGTTTTTAGAGCTCTCCCCAAAAAGCAACTCGATTAAACATTTTTCACGAGTTTTGAAAATTTTAAAAATAATTGTTTGCCTTATTTTTTTGCATGCTACATTAATTTTTGTACAACATTATTTATTATTGTTACATTTATTAATGAATAACAAATTAATCCATATAATTACTTACATCATATTAAGTATACTTATATATAAGTATATTAATATTTAAAAATATAAAAATATATATTTAAAAATCGCTTGGAAACATTACAAGCAATAATAATTAAGTTATGAGCGACCTTGCGATTTTGAGCTAAAACTTTCATTTTCAGTGAAAAAAAGTTACTGTGGCGAGTAAAAAGGTTTAAAAAATAATTCGATTTTGGCTTTTGATGAAATTTTCAAAATTCGTGAGCACCACTAAATATGTTTAAATTTAATCAAGCTAATTATGAAGTCCAAGCTATATTTAAAGTTTTGTATTTTCCTTAAAAAGTAAAAATTGCATATTACTTGTGTTAAAACATTTTTTGGATTAACAGTTTAAATTAAAAATTAGGTATTATCTTATTTTGAGTATTTTACAATATAAATAATTTTTCAAAATTTGAGATTTATTGCAAAAATGGTCGTTTTTTTGTAAAAATTATAAATTTTATAACATAATACTGACATATTATGTACATGCAAGTATTTTGAATAATTTTTTGACTATAACTTTTTTTAATTTCAATTTTATTGTAAAAAATGTTTATCATCCTAAAAAGCGTTTTAAAATTCAGGGCCGGGAAATATCTTTACTTATAACGCATGCGCAATACTTACAAGTACTCTGATGTGCCTGAAAACGCTCAAGGCCGACCAGATCCGTTCGCTGGCCAGAAAATCGTCGCGTATCCTCTGATGTACGCCGTCTTTACCTAAACTTTGCATGGCCACCCACAGGGGCAGAGACAACACCCTCCTGCCCATGTGGTCGGTATTTAAACCCGCCAAAAGTGGCAGAGTGCTCTCACGGCTGACACCAACCTGTTTGCTGCGATTTAAGTTGTGTGAAGCGTCCCAAACCTTGTACAATGTCTTTAAAAATGTTAAGAATAAAATGCATCCAAAAATGTTTTATAGACTACATATATATTTTAAATAAAGGATACGATAGTTGGTAACCCTGGAACCCCCAGCCAACTTCCTAGGGACAGAGTTAAACTGTCGGAAACAGCTGGAATCTAAAAAATGTATGCAATAGGTACTAAAAAAACAATACAAACTAAACCACTTACATGTCCGTTTCTTTGATGGTTGGGCAAAGCCAGGGCTGCCAATGTGTGTCCCCTTAAATGTAACCAAACGTCGTGTACTTTACACAGCTCCCTTATTCTGGATATGTTATCTACGTGGCCCGTGATAGGGGTGCCAACATCGGAAATAATAATTACAGGGGTTCGCCCTGTTGCCACATCGTCGGCAAGCATTTTCTGCAATTGTGCTACGTCCATTGTATATTGTGAACCTGTAAATAATTATTATTAATATACCCTAAAATGTGTTTTAGGATTTTCAAATATGTAACATTAAAAAACATTACTTATGACACTATAAAATGTGTTTTGTTTTTAATATTCTTTGGTATGATTGTAAAATTGTTTAACATGCTTTTTAAATAAGTTTTAACATTCTAAAATTAATTTTGGAAATCATTTATGTTTTTTATAACATTGGTTTTTTAAAATTTATTTTGAAGTTTTAAAAGTGTTTTGAATGCTTTAATAGTATATTAAAGAACTAATGTCATAAGACGTCATTTTGTCGCACGCGGACAATTTATAATGGACTAAAGGTCTTATGACATGAGTTCTTTATGCTATTTTAGCTATTTTGCAAAAATTGTATAACAAAATAATTTTATACCTTAAATTTAATTTGGTGGAATTTTACTTTAAATAACTAGTATCACAGTCATTGGTTTGACAGTTAATGTCAAAATCGATTCGCCATGCCGTCCTTAATTTACTTATTTTAAATAAGTTATTTACAATAAGCGGCTGTTAATGTTAAAGAAGAAAAAAGGATTTTCTTTGGTGTTAAACAAAATTTATTGCCACAAATGTCTCGTTAGTACTAGAAAAATCATAAAAATATTATAACCAATATGCAAATTATTATGCTGTTTAAAGTTTAGCCAACCTATAAAATCAAAATTTCGGGAGGGATAAAGCACTGTATATAAATTTAGTGTCCCTAACTAAACCCCCAAATTTTTGACATTGTTAAATTTCGAATAAAAAAACTGTAGCTTTATTGTAAATTGGTATAAAGTGAGGTTACTTTTCGACAGATGTCAAATATTTAACAAATAAAATTGTCTTTAAATTCTGAAAAACATTACTTTTTGTTGTTGCAGATAAAGTATACCATACACTCGCTCGCAAGCTTCGTTCGTGCCTAACTAAAACTCGTGACTAAAATGCCGTTTATAAAACGTGTTACATATTATACTATTAAAAAAAAAAGTTGCGCTTTCTTAAATGTGTTTTGGCCTTTATAAATATGATTTTACCATTATTAGAATTTGTTTAGGGGATTCCTAAGCTACTTTACTTAAAATGTGTTTTTGAAATGCTCATAAAGTTTCACATTTCATAATATGCTGTTTTAAACAATCTAAAACGTGTTTTTTACATTCTAAAATGTGTTTTTCACAATCCAAAATTTGTTGTTTTAATATTCTAAAATACACAGTCCAAAAATAGGGCCAGTAAAATTAGATATAAACAAATTTAAGTTTAAAAAATCTCACAACGCTGTTTTTAAACAAAATATGTGGATATTAACCGATATAAGCCGACATATTAACGAATAGACATTAATATTTAAATATTTTTGGGACATCCCATATTTTTATTTTAAAATTCACAATTTTTATTGTTTTCTAGTCAAATCCTAGAGTTTACCATTTAAATGGGTGAAACCTCTTTATTATAGATAAGAGACTCAAGAATGAATTAAGTAGTTGAATATCTCGAATCTTTTTTAGGTTATGTTTATATTTTTTAAAGTAGGTATTAAAATTTTACTTTAGGCGCTAATTTTAAGAATAATTATTTATATTTATTATATATACATTAAAATTTATAAAATAAATAGTTACTTACCAAAATGTGTATTCACTGGGACAGGTCGTACACATGCCAAAGGTAAACTAAGTTGCCTGCACAAATGCTGTACTATGCCTAATGGACTAGCAATACTGCTATAAATAGTTGGCAGAGAATTTGAAAACGCTAAAGCCCCATCTTCTAGATAACGGGGATATTTGTAATGCAACATCATTCGAGTTATCCTAACTAGACCTTCAAGCTGATCCTCATGATAAAATGCAGTGGAATCAAGAAAACTACAAATAATTAGTGTTTAATGTAAGGATTTAGTGAATTTTACACAGTTTCTCACCCAAATATTTGGCTGATCCACCGAGTTGTGTCGGTAGTAAATCTAGCACTAATTTTCTGCAAAATACTCCGTTCTAGCCCTCCACAGTATGCAGCCAAACTGTGTGACACAAAAACCAGCTTTGTAACGTTTTCTAAAGGCGGGAAACTGTACGGCTCACCATCCTCATCAGTGCTTATTAAACCCTGAATAACTTTCAAAATTTCATCTGTATGTTTTTTATCCAAACCCAGAAACACTGTGTAGTTATTTTCACTTGGCGTCACCCCTTCAGCTATTTGCTCCAACCTACTTACTATTTCTGAGGCTTCTATTGCTATTTCGCCCAATTGCGGCTAAAATAAACAAATAAATAAAACATACATCATATCAACGCATTATTTCTATAACATTACCTTTTCTACAAATTTTTCTGGTGTAGAATCCATGTTACATTTTGATTCATCAGCTTTTATCAATGATTTTTGACTTTGAGGATTTGACTTATCTATCATTTCTGAAGCCATCGTGGCAACTGCATTTTAACATAAATTACTATTAACGACGCACGCCCCGGTAAATTAACATTACATAAACAAGAGATCGATAGAAAAGTATGTCGATGCTTAGACTTGCAACTGTCAGGTTGACATGATATGTAAACAGCTGACTGCAGACTTGGCCAACGTCAAGAAAATAAATCACTTGGATATCTGAATTAATAATTGTATTTATAATGTTTTATCAATTAAACTCATATTATTTTTGAATACAAATAATTTTTATGTTGCTGTTTTTATATTATTTTAAACACCGAATAAGTTATTTTAATTAATATTTATCTTTAAGTTGGCATTAAGTAATTGTTCCGTTGTCAGGTTTCTTAAGTGTTGCCGGTTTTATACAAGTAAATAAGAAAAACAATCTTAAATATACCGTTATTTCCGAATATACTTCTTTCAAAACAAACTTTTGGACAATTTCGTTGTGTTTCGTAAAATTTTGATTCAAATGAATAGGTTAAAAGGGTATTTTTTTAGCTATCTTCTGTTGCATGTGACAACAGGGATGCCTACGTCAAAGAACTGTCAAAAATTATAAACATTGTGCTTGTATTCGTAATATAATAAACAAATTGGGTGTTTTGTGTAAAATGAGTGCAAAAGCATGCCATCATTTGCAATTGTACAAGAAAAGCAACAAAAATTTGGAATCATTTAAATGGATACATGCAGTTTTTGTTGTAGGAACTTCATTAAAAAGCAGAAAGGCCAAGGTAAAGAAAATTAGATAATTCTTTATCTTTAGTTATTGGCTTATATATGTATATTAGCCTAATAATAATAATATTATTAGGTGTATATTACATAATATATAGGTATTATACATTATTAAAAAATCCTATTTTATTTTATTTCAGTATTCTTTATTACAGAAACAGAAACAAATGTTAATAGATTATTATTTTTAAGATTTGTAATGCCTACTGCCGAACATGCAAGAAAAGGGGGCCTTTTCTGCATGCTTGCTTGGAATGTGTTTATTTTGGATGTCATAAGCATATAAGGGAGCATACAAAATACCATAAACACATAATTTCAATGGATTTAACGTATGGACAAATTCATTGTGCATCATGTAATGACTATGTGTATGATGCTGAACTTGATTCCATTACTTTGCACAACAAAATGCAAGCTGGTAATTTTAAAAAAAGGTAAGAAAAATATTGTGTTTTTACAAATTCAAAATATAAAAATGTAAAATTTATAAGAAATATAAAACCAAATATGTTAAAGCCAATTTAAAAATGTTATAAACATTTTTAAAAATGTTAAAAATCGAATTAATCCAAAAATATTGTAAAATAGTCTAGGAAAAACATTGTTTTAAAATTCTTGGATACAGTGCACCTAGTATCCTTCTTTGGATAGGTATATTTTTTATTTAAAGAGCTATACAAGGTTGGTTAAATTAGATAAAATTTGCGTAATTACAAGTGTATTAAAATGGCATTTAAAAATTGCCTAACAACTCAGCGGTTCTCAAATAATAAATAAAAAATCTGAAAACCTGTCAAAACCAAAAATTGTTATAATTTTAAAATTAACAAATTTGTTATTCCTGGTAAATTTGAAAGTAAGTTTTACATGTAAACATATAAATTTATCTACATTTTTATTCAGTGATTTTTTGTTAACTGGTTTTTGAAGTTTTACATGTACGATAGAAAAAAAATCAAGGAATCCAATGATGTATCAAACTACATAAATTATGGTGGCCATTATAAATACAAAAGATGGTGACGGTACCTAACTCAAAACATAGCAAATAAATTGGATAAAAATGTAGATTATTGTGTATGTTGAGTACCTACATATAACCCCTACTTGGTTTTAAGCCATAGAAACATAGAATTTCAAATGTGTCTTTTTACTAGATTATTTTACAATATTTTAAAGCGTTTAGAACATTACGATTTTAGCGAGGGGGAAACCACCTTCCGCAATACGTGTACATTTGGTCCGAAATCACTCGCAATCGTCGCTGCAATCCCGCAGTCACTTCGCAATCGCCGAAATCCCTACCTGCAATCCCGCAATAACCGAAATCTCTATCTGCAATCCCGCAATCGCAGAAATCCTATACTTGCAATCCCGCAATCGGGTTGGCTAAAAGTCAACAATAAGGTATAGCTGTGTTGCCAAATTTATTTAAAATAAGTGTAACTAGGAAAGATACTTCAAGTTTTTATATATAATAAAAGTGTATAATACACATGTGTTTGCCCGGTTTTGCCTAAATTATGTAGGTTAAATTTAAATAACAAATTTTACTAATATATATAATATTTATTGTAAATACCAAAAAAATATTTGAATTATGCATCTTCTCCATTTTTAAACAGCCAATTATTTGCCGCCGTCAATATAAATTTCCTGAAATAGTAGTTCTGTATAACACATTAAAAATATTTGTTTTAAAGTAATCGCAAATGTTTTTAAACATAAGATTTGACAAAAATATGTTATTGATGAATGAATTAATTGAAGACACTAGTGAACAAAGGGTCTAAGTGAATTTTGACACTTTGTTTTTTGGTTTGGGTTTCCAATTATTGACAAATGTGTTTAATTTTTTTTTATAAATTATTGACATGAATAAAATCAATGAATACAATTAATAATGTGGTTTATTAACTGGTTAAACCGGTTAAACAATCTTATTTGAATAGACACTATAGTGTCTATAATACAGTTAAGAGCCAATGGTTGGTTTTGTGGATTGTGGGCAACTTAGAGTACTCTAAGGTGGGCAATATGCGAGGGGTCAACCACTGTCGGCAATGTGGTTGACCCCTCGGCAATATGTATATGGTTTTTGAGGTCACTCATTAGGAAGTTGGTATCCATTTTTCTAAAAACAAAATGGCTGATCTAATATGGCGGCCATTTGTCGTTCAGCTTTAACGATTTGGATGAAATTTTGTAAAAAGATATTTTTGGGGTAGCTAATTATGAATTTTATATCAATTTGCAATTGCGTATTCAAAATTGCAGATATCTATACGCAGTGGTTACTGGATGATCGTACCTATGCGCAGTAGTTACTGGATGATCGTACCTATGCACAGTAGTTACTAGATGACCGTACCTATGCGCAGTAGTTTTCAGATGGTTGCATCTACGCACAGTAGTAACGTGCACTTTCGGCCTAAAAAGTTTTACTTTACCCAAGTAATCTTGGTAAACACAATGTTTTTATTTCGTGTTCCAATTTCTACAGAAAAAAGTTTCGTACCTATTTTATCCCAAATATTTTTTGTGTTTTAATTTTATAGCTACTTTTACCACGAGAGAAACGAGACGAGGCACTCTCGAGAGAAGAGTATTCTCGTCGAGGCGAGGACCCATTTTCTCTCCCTGTACGAGACGAGACAAAAGAAGGACTTCTCTTCTTTTCTCGTTTCTCTATCGCAATCAAGCTAGCAATCATATCTACAATCCAACCCAATACAACCAAAATCGTCTCTCAATCCTCACAATTCCATTGCAGTCCTGCAATTACTAATTTCAGGTCGTAATCCTCCGAAATTGCAACAATTTAAAAAAAATTCTCCGAAATCACCGAAATCATGGGATTTCGTCGCAATCCTCCGAAATCACCGCAATCATTCCGAAATCATGGGATTTCCGCAATACGTGTACATATTTTTTGAAGGTGGTTTCCCCCTCGGATTTTAGTCTTTTAAACGAAGTGGCACCCGTCCCGAGGCGGGACTTACATAAGTACGATCCCGACTGACGTCACACACTGTAAATCCGTTTTTATTCCCCGAGCGTTATAAAATTAATGTTAAGGTGGATGGCTCAGATGGTAGGGCCGTCGCTTGGCATGCGAGAGGTAACACCGAGTTCGATACTACTAGAAGTTGTCGAACTTTTTTTATTTTTTTATTTTATAAATTTGTTATTCCTTTGTTAAAAAGTGTTGGGTTGGGTTGGTTGATTTGGTTGGTTTGTTTTAGTTTTATCGTAACGTAACAAATCTTAAAATTATGACGTCACTCGGGACTGGAGCCACAGCGTATTTTAAATTAGGAAGTTTAAAACGCATTTTAAAATGTTTTTAATTAAAAAGAATTTGTGTTTATTTGGCTGTTTTTATTGATTATTTTGCAAAATACTATACCTATATAATATATAATTGTAAAATTGTAAAAGTGACAATATTTTTAATTAAAAACACTAAAAATAGGTGTTTGTACAGGGTTACTCCATATTAAAATACAGGGTTACTGCATATTAAGGTAAAAAAAATGAAATGGGCGATTCCTCCACAATATTTGGTGCCGAAAAGTTAGGGTTAAGTATCTTAGATTTCAAGATACAGGGTGTTGAAAATGCAAGGAAATTTTAAATTTTATATCATAATATTATCTAAAAAAACTCGTGTATTAATCACAAACTTGGCATAACTAGGTTTTTTAACATGTTCTACAATGCTATGGTACTAACTTTGCATTTAATGTACAAGGTGTTATTTTACAGAATTAATTTACCCCAAATCCCTTAATTAAAATTTTTGTCACGCCAATAAATGTTTTTCCTAAATGCTCATTAATATTTGTAACTTTTTGATACGATTCGCCGTTCTTGAGTTATTGTGCCTTTATGAATTAGTAATAAAATATTTAATAATTTTATTTAATTCTGTAACAAAGAAATTCAAAAAAACCTTTGTGTATACAAGGTTTGATAAAAAATATTTTAGATTATAAATATTTTTTTAAAAATTATGTGTTAATTTTGCGGCGAATTGTAGATAGTTACATACAATGTAATAATGTTAAAACCATATTTAAAAATGTGATGATAAGTTTAGGAACCTCAAATAAAGGTCTATAATTTTCTTACTGTTTGTTATTTTTATTATGTTTACTTACATTTTGCAGTGCAAATTTTGATGAATCAGAATCTTTACATGTTTTTATTTAAATTCTAGGGTGTCAAAATTAATATAAAATTTAAATTTAAACATATTTATAATTCATCAAACAATTTTGAATGCTATAATTATATTTAAGTTTTTTAAATAAGTTGTGTACTATTTTTTTTTGGTTTTAAAATATACTTACATACATACTCATATCTCAAATTTCGGTAACTTTTTGTTAATTTTTAAAAATATTAAACTTATTTTTTAAGACTATTTGAATCCACACATTGGGACCCCACAGAGGAAGAACGTGACTTACTAGACCGAAGAACCAAAAAAATATGCATAACACCAGAGTCGACAATAGGGTTGAGGGGGCTGTTAAATCTGGGGGCGACATGTTTCATGAACTGCATTGTGCAAGCCCTAATGCATACGCCCTTGTTGAGGGACTACTTTTTAACAGAAAGGCACAATTGCAATGGGGTACCTGGTACTTGTTTGGTATGCGAAGTGTCGAAACTATTCCAGGTAAAAATTATAAAACATTTTTTCCCAGGATACGTAAAATTTGTTAGGTGTCAAAAATTACAGTTAAAAATTTATTTTAAAAAGTAATAATTTTGTGATGTTATCGGTATTTTTTTATATTTTAACCAATTATTTCCATTGAAAAAATATTTTCAATAGTTTGTTTCCCAGGAAATGTACCTATAGGTATACTAGACTGGGCCAAAAAAATCGACTTTTTTTTTTTGGAAAGTATATCGAAAATATTGTTGGGGTGACAAAAAAAAATTATGGTGAAAGTTTGAGTCCATAATATTAATATTAAGAGGTCTATCAATTTTAGATTTTTTTTTCCTGAGCTGTCTCAGAACTCCCAAATCATTGAGTTTAACAAAATTGACTTAAGAACATTTTTGAAGAAAATTGAATGCTTTACAAAAAAGGTTTGATTGGAATTTCCCGTCAGATAAACCCTTTTCTTACAATCATGCCTTAAAAATTGGTATAGTTTTACAATTTGATCTTTTAACTTTGGAATTTTGTAATTCAAGTAAAAATCAGTACCCTGAAAAAAAACGATAAATATTCTTATAGGAAATCAAATACAAAAAAGTCTTTTATCATTTTTGGCTAAATTCACTCCATCAAAAAATATTCAAGGTTAACTTTGAAGTCAAAACGAAATTTTAACCTTGAATATCTTTTGATTGAGTGAATTTAGCTAAACATGTTAAGAGGCTTTTTTTTGTAAAACATTTGATTTACCATAAGAATATTTATCGGTTTTTTATGGGTACTGATTTTTACATGAATTACAAAATTCCAATTTAAAAGATCAAAATGTAAAACTATAGCAATTTTTAAGGCATGATTAAGGAAACGGTTCACCTGACGGAAAATTTTACTTTAACCTTTTTTGTAGAGCATTTAATTTTCTTAATAAATATTTTCAAGTCAATTTTGTTAAACTCAATGGTTTGGGAGTTCTGTGCCCAAAACTTGCTGTGGAAAAAAAATAAAATTGCGATGATAGACCTCTTAATATATTATGGACTCAAACTTTCACAATAATTTTTTTTTGTCACCCCAAACAATATTTTTGATATACTTTTCAAAAAAAAAATAGTTGATTTTTTTGGCCCAGTCTATCCTCCACAACCAAAAGTCCCACTTTGACATCTGAATATAAATAATTTAGGTTATGTATCTGTTAGTTTAATGCTGATTTTGTCTTATTTTCTGAAAATATTTCAATATACAGGGTGTCCCACAATTAGTGCGACAAAATGAAGGTGTATTATCTAAAGACCCCCAGGAATTCCAGAAAATTTTTTAAAAAATTCTTTCTTTATTATTTAATAAGATTCAGGGGAGTCATATTTTCTTTATATGGCAACATTGCCTCATAACAAAGTAATAGTTTAATTCTTAATCATCATGACAACAAACAACAATGTTAGAAAATGCCAAATTTAAATGTCAAAATTTGTTACTTTAAGTTATAGGTTATTTATTTTACGTCAGACAGGGACTCCCTGTATTTTTTTCTATCCAGTCTGACGTAAAATAAATAACCTATAACTTAAAGTAACAAATTTTGACATTTAAATTTGGCATTTTCTAACGTTGGTTGTTGTTATGATGATTAAGAATTAAACTATTACTTTGTTATGAGGCAATGTTGCCTTATCAAGAAAATATGTCTCTCCTGTATCTTATTAATAAGGCCTGGATTTTTAGGTCATGAAAAAGTGATAAAAGGTTCCTAAATTAGGTGATATTTTTAATAAAATAGGTTATTATTTTAGGTACTTAATTAAAAAGTTAATATTGGTTGGCCCGTATTTTTAGGTTATAAAAAAGTAAAAAAAATGCAAGGTCTTTTTCTTAACTCTTTTCTATCTTTTGTGTATTTTTTCCAAATTTTTTAAGAGGGTTTTTTGAATTATTTTTTCCTCGAAATCATTCTTTTAAATTCTTCAACATCATCATTCTTTTTTCCGCCAATTTTCTAGACTTTTATTCTTCTACCCCGGATCTAGCTGGCCTCACATTCGCTCTGCGAGAAAAGGCCAGACAAATTCCATGCCAATAAAAAGGGCTTAGTACAAGGGACAAAGACCGTCGGAAGGCTGCGCTGCTACCACCCGTACCACGCATCTTCACCGCAGGGAGGCTCAAGAGGTGGAACCACACTTCCACGCGCCTCTTTACAGCCAACCACATCACCACATTGCGGCCTTTACTATTTACCCTTTTTATATTATGTAATTATTTAATTTATAAATAAAATGATTTTGATTTTGATTTTGACTGCGGACTAAAAGCCGAGTGGTCGTGGGTTCGAATCCCACCAGGGGTATGGCTGTTTATTTGTGTTTGTCATTGTGTACTTCTGTAATTGGGCCTGGTGCCTGTTGAAAGCACATTAAAAAAATAATAAAGAAAAAAAAATAAAAAAAAAAGTTTTGAGAAGTAAAGCTAGTGCGTTTATCAGTCAAAACATTTTTAAACCAAGAGAATGATCGTTCAACGTCATAGCACGGGTAAAAAAAGTTCATTTTAGGTATTAAAAATACAATTTAGGTGCAAAAAAGGAAAATAGGTCAAAAAAAATATAAAAAAGGTATTTTAGGTCAAATAAAACTTAGTCAGATGACTCAATTTTTTATAAAACGTGCAAATACAAAAAAATATCTTTAAAACCTAAAAAACCAACAAAAGGTGTTTTACCTAAAATCCGGGCCTTACTTATTAAATAATGAAGAAAGAATTTTTTAAACAATTTTCTGGAATTCCTGGGGGTCTTTAGATAATACACCTTCATTTTGTCGCACTAATTGTGGGACACCCTGTATGTATTTTTTATTTATGAAGATCTTAATTTAGAACACAAAATATACATAATATGTATATATTGTATTATTTTCTAAATATAAGACGATATTAGAGTGAAACTGACACATGCACATGTCTGTGGACACATGTATCATGAAACTGACAGATAGATAGCCTCAATTATTTGTATTCAAATGCCAGGGGTGGGACTTTTGGTTGTGGAGCATAGTACTTAAGAATTCTTAGAAGTAAACTGCATTTTTTACATATAAACAATATTACTTTATGATTTGACAGGCAGTTTTACCCTTAAAAAGTATTTTTCCTGGGTAAAAAAAACTGTTTAAATAAACTTTTCATTGTTTTATTGATCTTAAAAATACCGTTAAATATTGATTATTAAAATAAATAAGCATATGTCGAATATTCGATTTTTTTAGGAGTTCTACAGGGGTGCCAGGGTTCCTTTAGCCCTGCACGAGCTCTTGCACTTAATATGGACGCATGCGCGCCATCTGGCGGGTTACGAGCAGCAAGACGCGCACGAGTTCTACGTAGCCACCTTGGACGTTCTTCATCAACACTGCTTGGCAACGATGCCACACCTCACAAACAACCAGGATGAAAAAACCTCCGCGATCAAATGTCCCTGCATTATCCACCAAATATTCACCGGCAGATTGCAGAGTGACGTCGTGTGTCAGAAATGCCAGTAAGTGTTTTATTTATTTTTTTTAAATAACTGCATGCAATTATTTTGTTATTTTATTTAATTTGATTTAAAAAACAGACAATTTTTTCAATGATTTTATAATTATTTTTATTTTAATACAAAGAACACTATACAGGGTGTCCCACAATTAGTGCGACAAAATGAAGGTGTATTATCTAAAGACCCCCAGGAATTCCAGAAAATTGTTTAAAAAATTCTTTCTTCATTATTTAATAAGATACAGGGGAGTCATATTTTCTTTAAATGGCAACATTGCCTCATAGGCCTCAGGGACTTTTCTATCCAGTCTGACGTAAAATAAATAACCTATAACTTAAAGTAACAAAAGTTGACATTTAAATTTGACATTTTCTAACTTTGTTGTTTGTTGTTATGATGATTAAGAATTAAACTATTACTTTGTTATGAGGCAATGTTGCCTTATAAAGAAAATATGACTCCCCTGTATCTTATTAAATAATGAAGAAAGAATTTTTTAAACAATTTTCTGGAATTCCTGGGGGTCTTTAGATAATACACCTTCATTTTGTCGCACTAATTGTAGGAAATTTAATTTTTGACAAAAAAGGTTCTTACGTTCATATCACTAAAGTGCTTTGTTTAAGAGATATAAGCAATTCAATAACCAAAAACAAAGAAAAAATAGGTTGTATTGAAATTTATGTAATTTGATTAAACAACTATATATTGCTTATATCTCTTAAACAAAGCACTTTAGTGATATGAACGTAAAAACCTTTTTTGTCAAAAATTAAATTTTCTACAACTTTTTTATTTGAACTTTTTCGGTAAAACCAGTCATTCGCTCGATTTTCTCAAAAATATGTGAAAAGAGTGAAAAAACGACTTTTGGAGCTACTACAATCAACGTAAATAAATCAAAAACAAAATTGATGCAGGGCCTTTCAAAAACCGTGAATACTATGCAGAAAATTATGGTGATAAAAATTATAATTCAAAACCCGGCCAAAATATAGAAATTTAAAGTAAAAATTATTAAAAATACATGCTTTTTATATGGAAAAACTACAAAATTAAAAAGGAAGTACAATATAATCAAAATTACGGGCTCAAATTTTCAGGGAATTTTTTTTTCAACCTAAAAACCAAAATTTTCAAGTGTCAGCAACACCCTAATATACATATATTGTTACACAAGAACTTGAATTAAAAAACAAAAAAATAGGATTTAAACGTGACAACATTGTTGATAATTAATTTTTATGGTAACTCTTTTCGCTTTTGACAGTGGCAGTAACACTAGACTGGGCCAAAAAAATCGACTATTTTTTTTTTGTAAAGTATAGCGAAAATATTGTTTGGGGTGACAAAAAAAATTATGGTGAAAGTTTGAGTCTATAATATTAATATTAAGAGGTCTATCATCGCAATTCCAGATTTTTTTCCTGAGCGACTTTTTGTCTCAAAACTCCCAAACCATTGAGTTTAACAAAATTGACTTAAGAAAATTGAATGCTCTACAAATTCATGTAAAAATCAGTACCCGGAAAAAATCCGATAGATCCTATTCTTATGGGAAATAAAATGCTCTACAAAAAAAATCTTCTAACATTTTTGGCTAAATTCACTCCATTAAAGTTAAATTTGAAGTCAAAACGAAATTCTTGTTTTTTCCGCTCTAGATTTTTTTTGGGTCAGTTAAAAACTTGTATTCTTTTATCGATGATAATCTTTATGTTATTTGTAAAATTACTGAAATTAAAAAAAAAATAACGCTTTAGAATTTGTTCGCTTTAAGAAGCTATTAAATGAAAATATTATTTTCACTGTTACATATTTAATCATTTAAATAATAACAATCATGTTATTTTTTTTATTGAAAATTGTTAATTAGTTATATAATACACATTTATAAATATAAATTTAAAAAAAAAATCAAATTATAATCCATAAAAAATAAATCTACAGAGGAAAAAACAAGAATTTCGTTTTGACTTCAACTTTAACCTTGAATAACTTTTGATTGAGTGAATTTAGCCAAAAATGTTAAGAGGCTTTTTTATAACGCATTTGATTTTCCATAAGAATATGGGTACTGATTTTTACACGAATTACAAAATTTAAAGTTAAAAGATCAAATTGTAATACTATACCAATTTTTAAGGCATGATTTTACGGAAACGGTTCATCTGACGGAAAATTGCATTCAACCTTCTTTGTAGAGCATTTCATTTTCTTAAAAAAATATTTCTGAGTCAATTTTGTTAAACTCAATGGTTTAGGAGTTCTGAGACAAAAACTTGCTGAGGAAAAAAAAATTAAAATTGCGATGATAGACCTCTTAATAGTTATTTACGATATAAGTGGGATAAGAGTAAGATAACGTACGCATGCGAAATTTGCCCAACGAGTGCGTAGCACGAGTTGAGCAATCGCAAAAGTACGTTAATAAAGCGTTATCACACGTATATTGTACAAATTTTTATCTACGCCTCTAAATGAAAAAATAAACGGTAATTATTTTTGTCTAAGACTTAATTTAGGGTTATTTTGACATTTTGACTTTTTTATTTGATTGGTTAAAAGCAGAGAAAAACGCGTGCGTTAATGAACTTCTTATCTCACTCAAAATAAGTGTTATAAGAAGTTCTTATCTCACTGGCGTAGATAATATTAATATTATAGACTCAAACTTTTACAATATTGTTTTTTTGTCACCCCAAACCATATTTTCGATATACTTAAAAAAAATAGTTGATTTTTTTGGCCCAGTCTACAGGAACACGGTTATTAATCTATGGTAACACATCTATATGCAGTGTTATTTAAACTCTAAAAGAGTTGTGAAAACGAATCAAGTCCACTACAACAAATATTAAAAAAAGGTATGGAAACAAAAAATAAAGCAATAGAAAACATGCAACGAAAGTCTAAAGAGAACTTTTACTTTAAAAACGACATTAAGGTAGTCACAAAATAAATCAAATCAAATTTCCCTGTATAATCACTTGTTCATAATTCAGTGTTGCCGGATCTTCTAGTCGAGAATGACAGACTAATAATTTTCGTTGAAGACATTTATTATTGTAAAACAGTGCGGGTCACGTTATAAGATATGCATTATTACTCGCAACGCGTAAATATAACTTCAATATACTTTTTTAGGGGCGTTTCTACGACCATAGACCCAATTTCCGACTTTTCGCTGGACTTGGGGCCGGTTTCTATAGGTTGCCGTCCTCCCTCCTCGTTGGTGGATTGTTTGGAACGTTTCACAAGAGCGGAAAATTTGGGTTCGAATGCCAAAATTTTGTGCACCAAATGCGAATCGTACGAGGTGTCCACCAAACAGTTGACCTTCAAAACTTTGCCCATAGTTGTCAGTTTTCATTTAAAGAGGTTCCAACATCACACTACTGAGGTACATTTACTGTCAAAAATTAGTATACACTCACGTGCAAAATAATCGATCCACACAAATTTTCGATGAATTTCAATCGCAAATAACTTTTTTATTTGATGTCGGATTTAAACGAATATTAAAGAATATTGTAGATAAATTAATGGACAATCGCTCACATTTAAAAAAAATACTAAAAAATAGACGTACGTTTATAATATACAGGTTTAAACAAAAAGATGTTTTTTACCATAAGTTTAAGACACTCTGTAGAGTGGCAAAACCGTATATTGTTCTAAATTAAGTTTTATTTATCAAGTCACATCTATTCTTAACAGTTTTGTTTTTGGTTCACCTCGATATATTTATTTTTGTGGAAAATATGGATTTTTTTAAAAAACAATGCAATTTCCAATATTTTTCTGTATAAAGAACTAAGGTTGCTAACTTTTTTATTTGATGTCGGATTTAAACGAATATTAAAGAATATTGTAGATAAATTAATGGACAATCGCTCACATTTTAAAAAAATACTAAAAAATGAACGTACGTTTATAATATACAGCTTTAAACAAAAATATGTTTTTTACCATAAGTTTTAGTCACTCTGTAGAGTGGCAAAACCGTATATTGTTCTAAATTAAGTTTTATTTATCAAGTCACATCTATTCTTAACAGTTTTGTTTTTGGTTCACCTCGATATATTTATTTTTGTGGAAAATATGGATTTTTTTAAAAAACATTGCAATTTCCAATATTTATCCTGTATGAAGAACTAAGGTTGCTATTGTCCATCCATAGCCTATGGAGAATGACAGTTTTGTTGAATCATCCCATACTTGGACATGTCATACACGGCCTTCAAAAGCTATCAAATTGTTTTTTGCAAATTAATGTTTAAATTTTGAGATGTCTTCTTACTTTATAAAATGGATATGTCTCCGAGTGATGTTGCCAGAGCTATTAATTTAATCCAGGATGGACGGTCACAGTATTATGTGGCAAGTGTTTTAAACGTCATAAGAAGTAAAGTACAAAGGGCAACATCAGTCGGAGACATTTTTAAAAGTAAGAAGACACCTTAAAATTAACATATTAATTCACAAAAAATAATTTGATAGCTTTTGAAAGCTGTATATGACATGTCCAAGTATGGGATGATTCAACAAAACTGTCATTCTCCATAGGCTATGGATGGACAATAGCAACCTTAGTTCTTCATACAGGATAAATATTGGAAATTGCAATGTTTTTTAAAAAAATCCATATTTTCCACAAAAATAAATATATCGAGGTGAACCAAAAACAAAACTGTTAAGAATAGATGTGACTTGATAAATAAAACTTAATTTAGAACAATATACGGTTTTGCCACTCTACAGAGTGACTAAAACTTATGGTAAAAAACATATTTTTGTTTAAAGCTGTATATTATAAACGTACGTTCATTTTTTAGTATTTTTTTAAAATGTGAGCGATTGTCCATTAATTTATCTACAATATTCTTTAATATTCGTTTAAATCCGACATCAAATAAAAAAGTTATTTGAGATTGAAATTCATCGAAAATTTGTGTGGATCGATTATTTTGCACGTGAGTGTATTATGACATTCTAATAAATTTTAAAACAACATTTCATTGCAGATGAAAAAGATATCGACGGTCATATCGTTCCCGGAAACTCTCGATATGACTCCGTTCCTGTCTAATTGCAAAAAAGAGTCTCCCTTCCCTTCCGACAACAGGTACTCCCTATTCGCCGTCATTAATCACGTGGGTCAATCGATCTGCGTCGGTCATTACACGGCCTACGTGAGACAGCAGCACAATTGCTGGTACAAATGCGACGACCACGTGATAACCAGGGCCAACTTGAAAGATGTATTGGATTCAGAAGGGTAAGTACTATCCATATACCTCTAGATGCGGATAGACTTTTATGAGTACTTCTACAGAAACCGGTTAAATCTTTGAAACAAGTAAATACATTTTACCTTTAATAAACTTATTAGATAAGAAAGTATACATTACAAACAAGTTTTTTTTTAAAGGCCGAATAATGTTAAAAATATTGAGAAAAAAACCGTGGAACGATTTGTTGTATTGTTGGATGTTTTTCGAAAGGGGGTTGAGTTTTTACCTAAATAAATTGCATACAGTCCCTGTAAATACAAATTGGAAACAAAAAATACACATTTTATTAATAAGTTACCTACCTGAAACTTGTAAAGCCCGTATTACAGTCCGCAATTTTACTTGCAGCAATCTTTCTTGCATGCAAGTTTTATTCCAACTGCAACATGTATGATTCCAACCAACCGAAGAAAATATAAAAATTTATAAAATATTATAAAGTACAATTAAGATTAAATTTAGCTCCTGAGTCAATCTAAATGAAAACACCAAAAATGAATTTAAAAGTGCGCTGCATTGTCATTTTCTTACTCTCTTATAAGAGTCTAAGACTTTTTTTCTGTGGCAATTATTGAAATGATTGTAATTTTATTTTACTATCTAGTAAGTATGTTTTCAATATTAATTATTATTATCTAATTAGTTCATCTTATAAAAGAATGGTAAACCACTAAAGATTTGTAATAATTTGCCAATTTTTGTGATTTTTCTCTGGCTCCTGTGCCTATTCTGCTAAATTTAGAAAGTTGCTTTTTTTCAGGCATCAAGTACTACTTATACAATAGAAAACGTAACTATTATTTTAAGCTTCTATACTTTCATTTTCTTTATTAAAAAAATTATTGAAACTTGATAATTTTCAAAATTAGCCAATTTTGCCCTCAGAAATCATTGTTGAGGAAAAAATAAAAATCTGAAACTTTCAGGAAATGTAGTCCCCACCTTCATCTTTTTAGTCTAGTTAGTCTTGTTTTGTTATTTTTATCCTTGTATAAGATATAATAATTTTTTTAATGCAGTTAAGAAGCGATATTGTTAGTTTTATTTATAATTTAAAATTTAGATGGCTTTGACTTAGTCAATTCATGTTTGGTAGAGAAATCTCAGATTTCAGACTTCTCAGAACTTGAATATTTTCTATGAGAAAGAGGTACAAAATTATGATATATTCTGCATTTTTAATTGCAATTAAATTCATGAATCTCTAAACACTCCATCATTTATTACACTTGCAAACTTGCAAACTTTTTGAAATTACAATTTAAATATTCACAAATAATATTTATAAAATATGTTTGACAGTTCTGACACTTCTCCACCAAACATGAAAGCCATCTAAATTTTAAATTATAAATAAAACTAACAATATCGCTACTAAACGGGCATTAAAAAAAATTATATATCTTTTAAAGGAATAAAAATAACAAAACAAGACTAACTGGACTGAAAAGATGAAGGTGGGGACTAAATTTCCTGAAAGTTTCAGATTTTTATTTTTTCCTCAACATAATGATGTCTGAGGGCAAAATTGACTAATTTTAAGAATTATCAAGATTCAATAATTTTTTTAATAAAGAAAAGATAGTCTAGGAACTTAAAATAATAGTTACGTTTTCTATTGTATAAGTACCTACTTGATACCTGAAAAAAAATAACTTTATAGATTTAGTAGAATAGGCACAGGAGCCAGACAAAAATCACAAAAATTGGCAAATTATCATGAATCTTTTGTGGTTTACCATTCTTTTATGAGATTAACTAATTGGATAATAATAATTTATATCGAAAACACACTTACTGAACAGTAAAATAAAATTAAAATCATTTCAATATTTTTCACAGAAAAAAAGTTAGTTAGTTAGAAATTGACACGATTTCAGATTTCTAAAGGGTGCCTATTAAAAGTAAAGAATCCAAAAATTAAAACGGCAACGGATTTTCATATTTGATACCTAAAAGATCATCCTCAATTTTTTTTATCAAATAAAAAATCAAGCAGCGCACCCCATTTTGTGTTTTTATTTGGAATGACTCTCCTGCTAGAGATGTAAAAAAACGGTTTTTTTCAGATGTGAAAAAAACATGAAAAAAATTTTGTTGTTGTTTTTTTTTTAAATTCGCTACAATAAAGCATATTCTGTTAATAAATAACATCAATCTTAAAAAATGGAGTAATTTTTCCAAATGAAATTTTGAGTAAAATGTATATTAATAATAAAGTGAAATGTAGAATATATTACATTTTTCATTATTATTGAAAATTTTAAACGAGATTAAAAAATCTGATTTCTTATTATTTGGTAGTTTCCACATAAGAAACCAATAGCAATGTAAACTACTACACTAATAGAAAAAATTAAAGGATAAAAAAAATTCCATATTTTTTGCGATTTTTCGGATAGATGTATCTTCGTTAAAAATGGTCGTATTGGAGCCGTAAAAAAAGCAATTTGAAGCTTGAAGCTTCTAGTTTTGATTTTTTTTGATAAAAAAGTTGCAACGCTCAATCCTAACGAATACCGTAATAAAAAAGTTCGAAATTTTTTTGGCTTTCTTTTTTGGTTCACGGAATGTTCTGACTAACCACCAATGAATGTTCTACAAGAACTTGCTATTGTTTTTTTGAAAAAAAAATTCCATCCTCTACATGAGTTTGAAAAATCATGAAAAAAGTGCTTTTGGTAGTTTTTTGAAAAATCAAGCGCTGAATCAAAAATATTGTAGGTAGTTACTTTTTTAGGACCAAATCAAAACAAGCGCGGCCCTTATTGGTCAGTTCGGTGGTGGTGGCGCGTGCATAGCGCGAGACTGTATTTACATTTACTAAATGTCATTTAGTGGATAATTTTAGTCCCTGAACTGGACTGGAAACATAAAAAATCAGGCAAATGGGACTAATCTTGAAAAAACCTAAAATATGAAAAAATCATTTGAAAAAAAAAAACAATAAAAAAACCTGAAAAAAAACGGACCGTTTTTTCAAGTCGCATTTCTAGCTCCTGCCACACGACATTATAATATATTTTATGTAATAGAATTTAGAATACAAAGAAACAACACACAAAAAATAAACCAGCGTCTCTAGGGAATTTAAAGTATGGATTGGTAAGAAAAAAGTTACCAACTTTTCCCCCAGACTTGCATGCAAGAGTATTGCGAAGAATTGCAGACTGTATTACGGGCTTAAACATATAAATTCAGTTAAAATCATAAAACAAATAGTCGTCTAAATGCAAACAGCATTATGAATTATTAAAAGTGTTGATTGAGAAAGTCTTCACTTACTTAACTTACTTAACTTAATATTATTTTAATTTAAAAAAAATGCATTTTTTCGTATTACCTACCCTATAAATAAAATTTTAAAAAATCCAAGTCAATTTTTCGAAAAAATTTCTCAATTATAACGTTTTTTTCCGCCGGCTCAATTTTTCCGGAAATGTTAAAACCCTACTTATCAGTAAAAGACCAAAAACGGATTTTATATTATGTATTATTATAGATGGCGCGCGCGTTGCAAAAACCCGATGATTATTTGGCGGATTGACACTTTATGATTGACAAATAATATACTTAAATTAAATTGAGAAAGTTAGAAAACCGCCATATAATGCATACATTGTCAATCAAAAAAATAATAATATACAACATGATTAAACCAAAAAAACTTGTTTTTAAAGTTAACCGATTTTTGTAGAAGCCCATTTTTGACATTTAACAAGTAAAAATGGACACTTTTTTAGGTACCTACTTTTCTACCACAAGCAGATTTTGGAGTACGAGTAAATTATATTAAATGTTGAATGTGTATATCATTGGAAATTTATTTTTTTATTAAACAAACTCAAACATAACTTCCGCAACAGTACCTTCACATTATTATAAAACCAAGAGTATTTTTTTATCGCGTCGACTGATTTTTTTTACACTCACTTTGTATACTGCCACCTGAACAAACAGCGTTTTGCTCAATTTTGTTGAAATATATAATGTAAATGTGTTAAAATGAGTATTTTTTAACCTTAAAAGTATAAGATATAACATTAAAAATGTTCGTACCGCTCATCGAAAGAACAGTGACACAACTATAATTTTCTACAATTTAAGTTTTTTTGTGAAAACTACTGCTACTGCATAAATTACAAAACAGTCCTTTTCAGTAATTATATAATTTTATAAAATAACTGTCAGTACTGTCATAACCATGGTCAAATCGACGATTGACAGTTGACAGATGTCAACAAGACTGTCTTAAAGCTAAAAGATAAAAGATAAAAATCCCAAAAGCACTATGTACAAGTACTTGCTACTACTAGCTCCATATATTCGATTTTGTAGGCACTTATTGATCCATTCCCGTACTTGCAGAACACAATTGGATTAATCCCATACAATTGAGCTCTGTTGTGATGAATGGTGCAAAATTATGGAATATTTTTGCCAGTTCAAGGTAAGTACCTACAATCTAAAATTCAAGTTTATTATTTATTAGTTCATCATTATTATTGGTATTTTACATAGGTTAATTAAAGTTTTGCAATCGCATTCCTTGTTTTTATAAAATTTCTCACCTTTATTAGTTTTTTTTTTATTATTTTTTAACGAGGTTTTTATTGATTTTATCTGTACAATTAATGATGGATTATAAGTTACAATAAAAAATTGTGGCTATCGCCACTGGCGAATATAAAAAACTAAATAAAAATTAATTAAACGGGGAAAAAATAAATTATGTTTTTAACGAGCCAGCAAACACAAGTTGTGTTACACAACCGTAAAGGTTTTATAATGGCCCTTTATGAACGTGCCTTTAATGAACTAAAGGCCCTATAAAGGCTAACTCTAACGGAACTATCGTATACATATTATGTCGCGATTACCTTTAAGTAGCATGTTTCTGATATGGGGTGTTAAAAATTCTATAGTGGTTATTTAAATAATTTTAATGCATAAGTAAAGTATCTACACTGCGCGTCAAAATAAACGCATATGTAAAAAAATTGTAACTCTAAAAGGCCTTTACTAATCTTTATGAAATTTTGTATAAAAATACTTCAACTTATATCTCAGTTTACGTGTTCGAGAAAATATTTTTAAAGCCTTCTTATTTAATAGTAAAAAAACGTTTAAAAAATAACTTTTAGGGAAATTTTTTTTAAGAAAATAAAAAATATGCTGTTAAAGACCGTATTTTTGTTAATATACCATAAAAATGTTGTACAAATCAAACAAACATTAATGAAGATAGTGCTTCAAAGTCGGTAAAAATTACCCCTTTTTGATTATTTTGCTGAAAAGTGGTCATTTTTGAAGACTTTAAAGCGCTGTATTTTCGTTACTGATTGTTTGATTTTCGTTACTGATTGTTTGATTGTTTGACATTTCAGGGTATACTTACAAAAATACGGCATTTCACAGAATATTTTTTATTATTAAATAAAAGGGCTTTAAGGATATTTTCTCGACTATTTCCCTTGTCTTAATTTCCACCAATCACAAACGCGCAATTTTGAATTACAAATGGTTTCTAGGTGAAAAAACTGTGTGACAGCACCTGTCAGCAGTTTATTCGAGTTTACCCGCGGCAAAACTTGACAGCTGTTGTCACCAAAAATTGCAATTTATATTTTAATTGTTACCCAGACCGCAAAATCACATTCCCTGCACATGTCAGGAATATTCCCAGGAATATTCCAAGCGTCCCAGAATATTCCCAGGAATATTCCTGGCATAATCAAATGTCCGCTTTTTGGTTAACCCAGGCATCATAAAAAGAATATTCCATATATCTGCCTGCAGTAGTCTCAAGGATTGTTAGGGGAATTTTCCTTGATATAATTTGGGGATTATTCCCAGCCCTTATTGCCTCTTATACCCAGAAACTTAACTTAAGTATAGCCATTATTGAGTTACTGAGTAGATCAGTCCCACTCTAATCATTGTTTGGCTGTGCAATCACAGACGCACATCTCCAACTGATATTATTAACCTATCGGTATATATAGTTATCAAGCGTGCGTAAGCAACGGTGAGAGGTATTGCAACTAAACTAATGAATATTCACTGGGAATGTTCTTAGATGATGCTTGGAAGTTTTAGAGGATCATTCTAGGAATATTCACAATGAATATTCCTAGAATGAAGCGGATTATTCCTAGGCGATAGGGAATATTCCTGGAATATTTTCGAACCTTCATTGCAGTCTGGGTAACTGTTACTCATAAAATAGTCTTGTCAAATACCATTCGGGCATCTAATTTTTCCTGTGAAAAAAATCGAAAAAACACAATGCTAAGTAATATTTTTTAACAAAATGCATTCGTGCAGGTGCAAAAATCCTCCTCTTCGACTCTGATTTTTGTTGCCACCAGCACTCATGCTTTTTGTTAAAATATTACTTAGCAACGTGTTTTTTCAATTCTTTTCGGAAAAATTAAATGCCCTTCGGTCATCTATGCTTATAATATTACTTACGAAAAACCCTTGAACACGTAAAGATATAAGTTAAAGTATTTTTAGACAAAATTTTATAAAGATTGCTAAAGGCGTTTTAGAGTAAGATTTTTTAAATTTTTATGAGTTAATTTTGATATTATTTTTTATTAGATAGGGATATTCCACGATAATCAGGAATTGTTATAAATCCCTACTGTCACAATGAAATTTCTGACGGTCTGGATCAAACATTTTAATTATCTTGAAATATCCCACCCAATAAATATAAACAAACCAAATTTAATCAACCATATTAAATACTTTAATATCCATTACATTAATTAATATATTATCGCAAAATGTAATACTAAAACATTTATAAATTTGCAAGAAAAAATACATAGCAATGTGTTTCTTTTCCATTATTATCAATTAAAACTTTCTATTAAATTCTTTGGTTGTATTTTGTCTGCATATTATAATAAGAGTTCTAAAATTTGTAAAGTTAAAAATGCACCTACTTATTTAAATTTAACAACCATTAGGTTTTATTATTTTTTATGTGGTATAACAAACTATTAAAACTAGGAATTTTTAAAATATGGCGTTAACGAAAGGATAGTTAAAGGTTTATGTAAGTTTTATATACAAAAAACATTTGGCACTTTATTGGTATATTTAGTAAAATATACAAATATTAGCCTTTTATCACAATTAATATTTTTATTAAAACATTTCTGTAAAGGTCCAGTATAAGAAAAGCCTTGGCTAAAAATGCCATAAAGCCATGAAACTAGGTTGGGTTAATTTTAGTGCCATTTTGTCAATTTTTATTTGTATTTAATTGCGTTAAAATTTTACAAAAATAACGTATATAAATAAGGTTACAAATTCTGTAAATTTCATTGAAATCGAAAAAAAAATAATATTGCTGATGTTTTAAAATACCAGGTGACCAGTGTAATAATTATTAATACAATAAAAGTCGATATCTGGTGAAAATAAATTTAATTACTTTATTTAAATACTATAATATTATCATATACTAAAAATATAAAGGAACGTTTATCACTTATTTATTTATAAGTACACAAGGATTTTCTACGCACACACATACATATACATTTTTTATTTATCTATCAAAATGCAGTCCGACTTTTTGACAGATAAAATGCAACAATAATATTAACAATCGTCTTTTTTTGTAAAAAACTTATCGATAAAATACAACACAACCCCATTGGTCCATCCGAACCCGGACTGTACAACGTATTCCCCCCCTCCCCCGTATTTTCCCGGACTCTCTGCGTCGTATTTTTCGAACATTTCTCCGGTTTCTTCGAATCCCATTTGGTTCGAGCGGATCCAGCGCGTGGCCAAAAGTTCCGCGAGTGACTGGGCTTTTTTCGATTTGGTTTTGTGAAGCCCAGTTACGACCATGTCCTGGGTGGGGGGCCACGCGTTGGGGAGGTCCCATTGTTCGCCGGATCGGATTAAGGATGTAGGGATGCCACCTTAAAAAAAGGAAAATTATGAACACTCGTATCAAATTTTATACAATTTTATTATATACAGGGTATCCCACAATTAACAGGAGATTCTACGCACAAAAATGGAAAAAAAAGTTCCTATAAACATGGGTCGAGAAATGCTTCCTAAGGGGGCTACAGCCCCCAAAAGAGGAGCCCCTGATGATGGTTTTTATTTAATATCTCCATATTATTTTTGTACGTAGAATCTGCTGTATTGCACGTTAAATATGGGACACCCTGTATAGCTCTTCCATCTGAGCTACCCAGCTTAACATTAATTTTATTTCGCTCTAAAAATAATAACGATTTTATAGTATGTGACGTTAAATTACGACGTTGGTCGGAATCGAACTTCCGCACTCTAGACCAGGGATGTTGCGAATATTCGCATCCGCATCAGCAAATGCGGAGCTTCCCCTTAGATTTGGACATCTGCATCCGCATCCGCAATAATCAATGCGGATGTTCATGCGGATGCGAATGTTATACAAAAATGACGTTTCCGGTTCTCTTGATTCCACGGAAAAGTTCGTCAGAAAGACATGCTTAAAAAACGACCTTGCTATGATGTTAGATTCGTCAAGTGAAGATGAGAGCCAAGAAATACCAGAAAATTATAGCACTGAAGCTGTACTTAAAAAAGAATTACTTTCTACAGGCAGTGTTTAAAATCGCCATCCGCATTCACATCCGCGGATGTGAAATATCGGCATCCGCAACATCCCTGCTCTAGACACAACGTTGTTATTTTACCAACATTTAAGCTTTTATTTATGCTCCTTACACTTTTGGCTTGTTTGACATTTAAACATGCAAAAACCCATAAATCCACCATTACATTTTAAGAGAAAAATTCTGATTTTTACCAATTTTTTGGAAAACTTTTGACCTAGCACATCGTTTCAAGTAAAAACCGAAATAAAGACAAACTAAAAGGGGCAACATCCCCTTTTAATAGTTTTTAAATATTTGGGGATTCTGCTGTACACAATTTTGGCCAATATCTCAGAATCAGTTAAAGTGGCTTTTGCATGTTTTATACACAATTATTAT